TTTTATGTGAAGTTAACTCACCTCACGTGGTATTATTTGCTTTTCTCTCTTCTTCTTTATTTTTTTTTTTTTTCAATTTTGCTTGTTTTTCTGACACATATTACAGTCGAACCTCTACTTACCGAAGTTGCTAAATCCCGATAATAAGTTCGATATATGGAAAATTCGTTAAATAGAAAATCGCCTTTTAAAGGGCTTAAACAACACAAAATGGGTTTTAAATTCATGAACGCTAGACATAATTAAAAAAGCAATTGATACACCTTTATCTTGTAAACTAGTATCTGCTACCTATTTTATAAATCTTAGGCATAAAAGAAAACAAGAATAGAGCAAAACATTATCCAGTGTTACACTATTATGTTACATACATTTTCAACTAAAAACAGCTAAGTTTATGCATACAATTTTGACTATATTTATTTGCTGTATAAAATTATAACTGCAAAGTAATTTTTAATGGGGAAAGTGGAAGTTAAATAGGGAAAGTGGATGTGAAAGAAAAATTCGTTAAATAGAAAATTCACTTCGCTATTTGGAAGTTATTTTACGAAGAAATTTCCAAAATGTTCGCAAAAAAAATTCGCAAAATAGAGAAATTCGCAAAATGGTTCGTTAAATAGAAGTCCGACTGTATTTAGTGAAAATGGCTGCAACTAAGCAGTGTATAATGCAGTGTAGCATATAAAAAATTCTAAAGGAAGCTGACAGAAAAAAAAACACAAATTATTCAAGATCCCTAAAAGCTCTTTGTTTACAATAACTAAATATCGTAATGTAAGGATGAAAAAAAAAAGTGAATTACTTTCATGACATCGCTCTTGCAAAGCGAAAATTCAAAATCTAGAAAAGCATTGAATGACTGTCTAAACTTTATGCGCAATATTATAAGATGCCTTTTAAAAAAAATTAAATGTAATTTTAGCCTTTAATATACTAAATTAAATAATATTTTTATTTTATTGATATTAAAAACTGCATATTAGTCAATTTCATAATTTCATTTAGAGTATAGCATGTTTTTGCCAGAATAAGTCCAGTTTTTATGAAATATATGTAAATATTTTCATTAATTTTAATCAGTGACTGTATAGCAATCTCTCAATAGAACGTCTACTTTTTTTCGTACCATGGGAATCGTTATATCGAGTGTTGACTGTATTTAAAAAGGTGTGCATTATAATTTTAAAATAACCTGAACATTATATCTCCTCTGTTGGTCATGAACAACGTAACGCTTACTTAAAATACGGAAGTATACCGACATCTTTCTTTAAATTGGCTTATATGACATCTAGCATATCAGTAGACCCATTTATTCGAAATTTCAGCAAATCGATGTAAACATGATTCCTTTCTATGTGAAATACGATTGATCAAAAATTTTTTGCGTATTTATTTTTTAATAAAATTGAGCACATTTTTAGGTAATAAATCTGACGGTAGAAAACTCAGAAGAAACTCTGATAAAATTACCGTACTGCATGTAATGACATTTCTAGTAAAATATATATATAGTATATGAATGCAAAAAATCAAATATGAAAAATATATGGTATTTGAACCATTCATATGGTAATTTTTCCGTTCATTTAATGGCGATTTACCAGAAATTACGATTTAGAATTACAGTTCTTATTACCACACATTCAGTAAAAAATACAAAACTAAAAAGCAAATTTAAGCGAATAAATGGTTTTTATGACATCCTCAAAAATATGATAAAATTACCAAATTTTATCACATATCATAAGACAATATTTTATTCTTAATTTTACCAAAATCATTAACAAAGCACTTCTTTAAAAATTAGCATTTTTGTGCTTCCACCAAAGAAGAAAGAGCTAGAAACACGGTAAATTTTGCCATATTCTGGTAATTTTGACCATACTTTTTTTTCTCTGAGTGAAATGAGCGACATTCGTAAATTTAACTTTCTTTCCAAATGCAGGGAATACCACAAAAAATATTAGGATATTTACATTCGCCTTTTATTTACAATAAATATTACATTAAAACTAAATATATAGTTAACAGGGTTCATTTTAGGAAAAATTTGGGTTCATTAGCGGACATTTCATAAAATTTGTTGTTAAAACGGATCCTCCACAAAAATGTTTATCGTTTAAATGGACCTTTCACATACCTATGTTAATCTTCGAAATTACTGATTAAAACCTTTTTAAAACAGAGATTAGTCTTAACGGAAGTTTGGTCAGAATAACTGATTGATGCCGATTGCTAAGATAGATGATATTGATATTTTCAAATCTGCTGGTAATAGCCATACATTGCTCTAATTTTCTAATTGCTGTTACCATTTATGCTTAAAATGCTAATGCGAAATAGCTCGACTCATTTTACTTGCATTCTTAAAATTATGTTTCATTCAAAAACAAACCTAAAATCTCTGAGTCTCAGATGAAGTGTTCAAGAATATTAGTTTTTAAATCCATAAGCAATATATGTATATATCGTTTTTTACATTAAATAATTTTTCTTATCTTTCTATCTTACCTTTTCAATTTTAATTATTTATATATAATTTTATTGATTTATGTATATAACTTAAATCTAGTATAATAGCAATAAATATTTATGTTTGGAAGTATTGAATGAAGTTGACCTGAAAATAACCCGAGTCAACAAAAAAAAAAGTGGTGACTTAAAATAACTAAACATCAGTTCATTCTTTCCCTTTTTTTAAAAAAAAATTTTAATTAATAAAGTGCAGCAGTGCAGAAAGACTATAAAAAACACAATTTTCATTAAGAACTCCAATTTTCCCATTTAAAATTTTGATCCTTCAGGATTCATCAATTTGAGACGGAAAGATACACGTGGAAGGAGATTTTTTTTTTATCAATTCTAATGTTTCAAAGTTATAATGTATATCTTAGCTGTATTTTGTCTGTCCAAATATTTCTAATTAAAGTTGATTAAAGTCAGTATGTTAAACTAAATTTTTTCTCATATTTATATTATTTCTATTGTTCAATTAAATTTTTATAGCCATAAATTATCTGATATGATTTTTCGTAAAAAATATAATTTAATCCAAACAAACAAAAAAGTCATTTGACTCATTAAGTTTAAGAAAAAAGTGGCTACGAAGTTATTAAAATTTACCGACCACTGGCTACTAACTGAAAATTTAAATTTTTAGGTCTAGAATGAAGTAATGATTGAAAAGGGAAAGAGCGATTTATGTCCATTTTTCAATACAAAAAAAAGAAGATTTGACGACCCTTTGTTTTTTATTTCTGTTTTTTTTTTTACATAGAACAAATGTCATTTTTATTTTGTTCTTATACGAATTTTATCTAACTTTAAACGCACATGTATTTAAATTTGAAAGAATGGCAACAAGTCATCTTTTATGTATATTTCGTATTATTTTCAAAAGATCATATTAATATTTTTGTAAACGAAATTTGTTAATAACTTTTTTATTAATATTTAAGAGGAGTAAAAATTTTGCATTTACTCCTTTTTTTGTAATTGTTGAGTTATTTTAATATTACTCGGTAAAAAAATAATTCTAAAAATGCAAATACTGAAAATTGTATAAGGCTACACCTACAGTAATCTTAATTTACTGGAAATTTATCATTAAAATAATAATACCAAGCGAAAAACATCTGGTTGATATTTAATGTACTATTAATTCTAATTAATGTTATGAAATTATGAAAAATTCTAAATCCCTTAGAAAACCTTCAAATTTAAATGTGAATGAAAATGTTGCATTGAAAATCTGTTGCTTTAAATATGGGTCATAATAATAATGTTATAGTGTGATTATTAACGTATAAACAATAACTACACTAATAAAACTATGATATACTATCTCTCCGAATTTAATGTTGAACAATCCAAACAGTATATGAAATAACACTTTTTTTTAAAGTTAGCACCAAATCGAGCTTTTATATACAATTTAAATTTAAAACTCTTATAATGAGAAAAATTTACACAAAGTTCATGCACTCTTAAACCATACCTTAAATATTTGCTTTCGAAAACACCAATGTTTGCGCGCTTTGGATACAATATCTAGATTGTTTACATTTAATTACTAGTTGGTGGTTTCCTTCAATACTTCTATACATTAATTGAAAGAAAAGTTCGCTGTGAAGGTTTAGAGTTTAATATCACTAAACTTTTTAATTGAAATAACATATTTATATTCAAACTTTTAGGTCTCTGTAAACTATAGGAAATAATTTTGCAATGTATAACTTTTGACCGCTTAATTTATTTATATTGTCTTCTAAAAATAAACTTACCGACTCTTATGAGTATCTTATCGTACTGTAAATATAAATATTTGAGTTACTGAATACCGAAAACGGTGGCAACTACTTTACACCGAATAGTGTAAAGAAATTTCTTAGTGCTACGCCACACCGAAGAAAAAAAAATTATCATAACTAAAAGAATAGGATAACATTTACCGTGTTTCTGGCTCTATAGAAACACCAAAATGCAAAATAATTCTTAGCGAAGCGCTTTGGTAATGATTTTGGCAAAATTAATAATAAAGTATAGTTTTCTAATATGTATGTGATAAAATTTGGTAAATGTGGTAATATTTGGTAATTTTATCATGATGCCTTAAAGTGTGGCGGAAAAATCATTTATTCGGTTAAATTTAATTTTCAGTTTTGTATTTTTTACTAAATATATGGATTAAGAACTATAATTTAAAAAAAAAAAGAGAATTTCTTACAAACCGTTAGCATATGAGCGGAAAAATTTGCAAATAAATGGTTTAAATACCGTATATTTTGACTTTATTAACCAGAATCATGGTTTTTTTTTTTTACCACAAATGTCATTACCATGCAGCGCAGTAATTTTGCCAGAATTTTTTTCTCCGTGCAGGATCTGTCCTTTGTACTAGACCACTTAGATGTAATCTAGTTGCCCGAATTTTTTTTTATTTCTTATGTCAAGATGCACTAAAGTTTTCTACAGTATATAAGTTATATATTTACCATGATCATGTGAAAAAACAAAGAATCCCTTGCTACACACTTCCTTGGCTAACTGTTCGTAAGGTCCAGTATGTTCTGCATAGCCATGGCTTATTAAAAGTAGCGCTCTGTAAAAAAAAAAGTAAATCACAAAAAAATTTAAATATGCACAAGTTTAAAAAAATAAATAATAGGGAAAAAATATTTTTTGCTAATTATTTACATGTAAATTTAATATATATACAGCGGCCTAGGCCAATAGGCCCATACGCCAAATACAATGAATCATTTAAAAGGTCAACAGACCCTTATATAAATAAAATACAAAAATTATATGTATATATACAATACAAAACTTATTAACCCTCATATAAATAGAATACAAAAATTATATATATATATAATACAAAAATTGTGAACCCTGAGACAACCAGTAAAAACTGAGTGAGCTGTGAGCCAGAGCTGGTGGAACCCTTAATACAAGACAAAAAATCTAACAATTCACCAAAAACCGCCGTAAATACAGCTCATAAAACCGCCAAAAGGTGAAAGGATAAAATGACATAAATGAATATAGTGCTAAAATTGAAAAGTTAAAACTAAGACAAAATCACAGATGTATACACTTGCCAATAGGGCATTGAAAGGATCCAGCCAATCAAGCCAGCTTGAATCCTGCTGGTGGAACCAAAATAGTGAGGGTGAAGTAGTAACAGGTAGTTAAAATGAAGAACAACAAGTAAAGCAGAGTAAATTCAATTAAAGTACAAAAAAACAGAGGACAAAATACCAATAGATACTAAAAGGTAAGAGTTAAAAGGGGTGTATAACAATCTAAAAACCATGTATAAAATACAATCGCAATGTAAAATACCAAATGTATTAAAATCCAAAGGTTGTAAACAAACCTAAAGCATGTATAAAATGCAAAGTCAAGTTAAAAGTCAAATTAAAACACTAAAATGGCAATGTGGTCCAAAAAAAAGTTTTGGCAAGGTGGTTAGATTAAGCAGGTTAAAATTTTAGTTATTGTCAATTTTGTTTATTAATTCCATTTGTTCCTCAAGAGTAGTTTTAATGATAATCTTGATAATTTCTCTACAAACCTTGTCTGCAAAAATTTGTTGGTCTGTTTTTTGGAAGAAATAATTTTTTCGGAGTGTTCGGTACCGATCACAATAATATAAAAAATGCTCTATGGTTTGTCTTTGGTTACAGTTAGAGCAAGTATCTGATTTATTAAAAAATTTGTTTTGGTGTACTCCGAACACTCCGTGCCCCGTTAGAAATTGGTTATTTACATGTAAAATTAATCTTATCAATAAGTTTATTCGTAAACATTTTTTATAAATAGATAAATTAGATAGCAATAATTTTGATGAAGTCACTGTGCGCATTATGTTTGAAGTCAAATAAGCGGTCATTAAAATAAAAAATAAAATTAATAAATAAAGAAAAACTGTTTTGTAAAAATTATTCTTCGTTATCAATAATAGACTTTCGTTATCTATATTTGAAATATACATGAATTATATTTTTTGCAAGTTCATTATTGATAATGAAATCAAAAAAATAAGAATGACAAGCATTTCAAGTTTTGAGGTGAAACATATAATTATTGACACGCGTTGTTTACAACTGTTTCAATGGGCGTTTTAATATAGATTCTCGTAATCTTACTTTTTCTTTTCGTACATTTTTATTCATACTTATTTTTAAAAAAAGAATTTACTTTATTGGCGATAGGCACTATAGCAATTCAATATCCTTTTAGAGCAAAATGTCTTTCAATGCATTGAAGATTAATAAAAAATTAATTCAAACTGGGCGATAATTATTTACAAGAAATAAACAATCCATACATTATCTGAAGAAAAGACCTAAATAGAAAACTATGAATTGCTTGAAACACTTAATTCCTGATTAAATTGTTACAACATATTGAGCTTTAGCATGAATATAAAGGAGTACTATAAAATGTGAGAGCCTTTAGTAAGACATCCTGCTGAAACTTGTCAATTACAAAGACCAAAATTCAATAAATACATATTTATTGTGACAACATTAGGCTCAAAGTTTAGAAATTCAATAGAAGATCTGTCATTTGCAAAGACAAGAAGTAAGGCCAATGTTATAATTTATTCATCAAATCTTTATTATTTATTTAATTTCTTTTGATGTTTCTAGGTTGAGAATAAGCACTAATTGCAACCAATGCCAGATATAATCAGATCACTCTCATTACATTATATGATAAATCTAAAAGTGACTTACTATTTTAGAAAAAAGTTTAAGTCCACGTTATTTACAAATATGTGTAAGGTAATGGAGGGAATTTATTAGATTTTATCACCATAAAACTTATTATAAACTGATACCATAAACTGATTTTATTTGAAAAACAATAGTTCTTAAATTCTTTGAATCAGAATTGAAATTTGGCGATTTCGATTATCGATTATTTTATCGTTGCTTCGCTAAGATATATTAGATGAATTAAGAACGAGGAGTTTTTTTCTCCCAGGATGCGCCAGGGAAAAAATTCTGCGTCAAAAAGAAAGTCGATTCCTGAAAATGAAAACAAATGACAAGTCCATAAAGAACAGTTCCTATTCCATCGGAACTTTTGGAATAAAAAAAATTCTGAGGTATTACCTAGGGTACAGTTTACTAACGTAAAATGGCCACATTTGCTTGCATTTATATTACCATTATACACTAGTTTTCAATAGGCATAAACTATGAATTATACAGCTTAAACTTATTCTCAAATCTTTAAACGTTTTGCTATTATAAATATAAAATTTGTAACTATAAAATAATTTTTAAATTGTTACTTAGAACAGTAATATTAAAAATTATTGAGCAAAATCGGGTGATATACCCGCAATCAATGTATTAAACTTTAATGTACAGAAATCATAAAAATATCATTCTAAATAACTTTTGCATTAATGATCGGATTTTCACGAACTGAGTGCTTATAATAGCATCTCTTAAGGGAGAATTCAAATATTCTTATTAATTAATGCTGAATTAATTAAGTTACAGAATCGGACACAAAAACTTATTTTCTCTGCAGCAGACCTTTTACTCAACTGATTTGGATTTTTGATTATCAAAATATGGGAAGTAGCCGAACTGTGGAAAATATGGTACCTTAGAGCATGGTGCAAAAACTATTGTTCGGTTAAATTTACTTTTCAGTTTTATATTTTTTATTTAATGCGTGGTAATAGGAACTATAATTTTGAAAACCGCCGACCGGCCTGTGTAGGGGGCAGGGAACTGTCCTTACATCAGAAAGGTTCTGGGTTCGAATCCCGGTCAAAGCATGGATGTTTCTTTCTCTCTATCTGTGTTCTATGTCATTTCTCCTTTGTGTGTGAATGTGACCCGCCCTATAAACGGGTTGTGGTAGTATGACGTAGGCGACGCTGCTCCACCGCCGTGGCTTCGCCACAGGTGCCCACTGGGTAACGAAAAGAGAGTAAGCAGTTCTGGCACTTTCTGTGGCCAATGGACAATAGTTCCAAGTGCCCGCCATTAAAAATAAAAAAAAATTTGAAAACCAGAATTTCCGGTAAATCGTTACCACATGAGCGAAAAAATTACCAAATAAATTATTTATATGCCGTAAATTCTGGTTTTTATTAGCAGAATCATGTTTTTTTTTAATGTTGATTTTTTCATATCATTACCTTACAGCACAAGTAAATTTACCGAAGTTTTTTTCTTCTTGTTAAGGTTACTTAGTCAAGCTAATCAATGATACTTTTATTTTTCTTCATCATTCGAACTGTGTCTTTTTATTTCATTTTCCTTGATGAAAGAGCATTGAAGAGGTCAGAAATTCTCTTGTCTTTTGAGTTGGGTTCAAAATTACAAGGTTAAGGCCGGATGAGCAATTTCTTGAGGGTGAAAAAAAAGAAGTACGTAGTTTTCCATTATTTGAAGGACAATGCATAGGAATTTTTTCTTTTAATTTGCATAAGACCATGAATATCTAGTGTTGCGCTTTAACAAAATGAAATGATGAAAAAAAAGTGAAGAAAAAAAAAAGACCATTAGACCTTTGTCTAGAGAAAGAAAGCAAACCAGTATAATTAATTCTAAAGATATCCTTGAAAGAAGACTCTAAATTGTACGTAATTCTGAGACTCTCGGTCAATGGAAGAAGTTGCCATTGAACCACTTAAATTAAAACGAATTTATGTCAAGAAATATTAATTTTTGTTAGAGAAATTAAGTCAAGACATTAAATTTGTGGAATTCCACAAGGACTTTTAGATAGAGAAAAATTTATTTAAAAGTTCTTGGCCAACTTTCTTTTTCTTCGCTTTTGTTTCTTTTTCTAAAATTAAAAATTCAGTTTAGACATATTTCACGAAAAATATTTCAATTACAAATTGTGTATTCCGAGTCAACTACGAATAATTTTATAAAAATGGTTTGTAAGATGACTATGGTCTTGATGACACAAGATTTTAAATAGTTTGAGATTTTATATATTATAACTCTTAGTAGTATAATTGGTCTTTTAATTCCCCGCAAAAAAAAAAAAAAAAAANAAAAAAAAAAAAAAAAAAAAAAAAAAAAAAAAAAAAAAAAAGTGGAATTGATTAATTTCGAAATAACTCAGGGTGCCGGTATTTTTTATCTTAAAACCTATTTTTGCCGAAACATGTAACGGAACAAAAAATCTAATATACCATAATTTTCACTGTAATAATTACCGTAAAATCACTGAATCACTTTAATTTATTAAATATTACTGTTAAAATTACGGTTTAATATTTTACGGATGATGCACCCAACGTTCTGTTTCTTTTTACCGTAATTTGATCCAGAACTTTTTACAGTGCTATCAAAAATAAATATTTAGATAAATTTATTACTCAAACTATTCACCAATTACTTTGAATAAAATTTATAGAAAAATATTTTTATTTTATCATTTAATAAGAATATTTTTAACAAATTTTATTAAAAACATTACTGTAAATTACTGTTAATACTGTAAATTACTGCAAATAATTACAGTTTCCTTATTAAACATTTCTGTAATGTTTAATAAGGAAACTCCTAAATGGTAGGATTTTTATGATTATCATAATGATTTGGTTTACTATGTAAGAATGTTAGTATAAAATATAAGAACATTTAAGTGAACGATAACTTTAGTTGAAACTATTCGTATTAAAAATGAAAAATTTCTTAACTTCATTCATATTTCATTTTCAATCTTAGTAAATAAGAAATTTCAAAAGTGTTCAATACAATTACATAAGGCTGTTTAATGTATTGTAAAGAAATATATAATATTTAAAAATACAATAACAAATAGAACGTCTAAAAATATGGTAGCATTTTAATTTTAAGAGATCTCGTAACTTATCAAATGCTGTTGCAAAATAATTAATTATTAATATAATTGAAAGAGCGATTTGATGTGTTTCTTACTGAAAAACAAACTAAGGTAAACAACGTCGTTGTTTACCTCAGTTTGTATTTTAGCACAAAGGTCGCCCACTTGTGTATTTGTGTTTCTTACTGTTTTTGTTTAAATTTATACATAAAATTGCATATAGAATGTGCTTTTGAACAAAAGATACCGTACATGGCTAATTTTTGGAATCATTTTTAAATCATCGGAATATTTTTTTCGTTATTATTTAGTCAGATAAAATATATACCCAAGTTTGTTTTCACTTAGAATTATATCGATCTCAATTAAATTTCGAATTCGTATCAGAATTTCATCATTAAAATTTCAGAATCAAAATAATGCGTAAAAGGAACATAATCCAAGACTGAGGAAGAAACAAATAGTATCAGATTACTGTAACCTAGTTACAGTTTTATTTATTTATTTATTTTATTCTGATAAGGTAACTTTCTAATCATTTGCTACCAACACTACAGAATAATGTGATACGGCTAAACAACACTCGTAAAAATAAAAGAAATTATACTGAGTCTCTTTTTTATTCTTTTATAATAATTATACTGCAAGATATTATCCTTTCTGCAACGCATCAAAAAAGAAAAAGAATCATTTCCTCCAGTTGATTCAGATTTCCATACAATGACTACTGCATCGATTGCTGTGAAAATTCAATAGCTGATAACAGTTACTGCTGAAACCTTTTGGAAAAACACGGATTCGGAAATGTTTCTTCTTTACTATTCTTTTCTTATTTCTATTTATTTGTGTCTTCCTAAGTTTCATGTTTTTGCTGATTCAGAGAGTGCAAGAAAATTATTGGACCCGTAATTATGTATTCGCGCTTTCAGCTTAAGCACAGATAATTATTTTATTTCACATAGTTTTAGAATGCAATTTTAATCTCACTTTTTAATTTGTATCTTTCTAAGTTTCATGTTTTTGCTGATTCAGAGAGTGCAAGAAAATTATTGGACCCGTAATTATGTATTCGCGCTTTCAGCTTAAGCACAGATAATTATTTTATTCCACATGGTTTTAGAATGCAATTTTAATCTCACTTTTTTATAAAATTAAAATATATATATATGTGTATATATTGTTACATTAACGAATGCTTCCAAATTTTTTTATGAAAAGTATTCAGAAACAATATATTTTCCCAAAAGTGAAATATAAAACCTTACTTGAATGCAAATTTGACTCAAAAATTAAGTAAAACCAAATCAAAACTTTCGTAATAATTATGTTACTTCCAAACCAAAACTAATGGAAAAAGTAAATTTAAATAATCATAGTTGCGTACTTAAATAAACTATAAGCGTTTCCTTGTTATGTCTCATTATCAAAAGAAAACTTCATTGTAGTTACTTAGATGTTTAATATTCAGGGTGTTCCAGTATGACTACCCTTAATGTATAATACCTTTAGAATCCTTGACAAAAGTGAAGTCAGAAAAGTATTCGTATTAAGAGTCACAAATGTTATTTAAGCGAAAAAGAAACGTGAGAACCAGTTCAATATCAAAACCAGTTGAAATGCCATGTGAAACTTGGAGTCGTTTCTAATAACTGCCTTTAAACTCCTTTCTATTTTCTCTGACACTCAAACAGGCTTTAATGTTTTCATTACCACGTTCCTCTTAGTGATTCAATAGATTTCGATAGTAATTTAGTTTTTTATTACGTATTAATTTATTTTCATTTATTTATTTTGTTCTTTGCTTAAACATTAATATGTGACCGTTATCGTGTGTACTTAGTGAAAAAAAGTTTGGAAGAAGACTAAAAATATGCATTAAGGGCGGATATTACAGAACACACTGTACATGCAATCAAAAAATTTTAATGCTAGGAAGGAAAAATAAACTTTTAAAAAGTCGATATGCTCACTTTTTTTTAAAAAAAAAAGACTTTTTCGTCAAAAATTGGGCAAATCCGTTCAATAATATTTAAAATAAAAATAAACAATGAAAAAATTGCACCAACTCTCTTTAAAATAAAGCACTGATTGAGCCTGTTTTAGAAACTAAACCTCTTAGATTATTTGTATTTTCTAAAATTGATTAATCTAAAATTGATTTTCACTTATTTGTTTGCAGCACATTTTCAAGATCTCCATGTCAAACAAAAAAAAAATTTTTTTTTATTTCATACACATAATTTTTTATAAGTCCACGTGCGGTTGCATTTAGTAATTCAAAAAATTTGTTTTACCAAATTTTTTTGTGTATATACATACATAGATAGTATGGTGTATTTTGCTTTGGCTATATTAATTCAACATCAGAAAGCATTCTAATTTGCTAATATATTCATGTGAGTTCACGACGAAATTTTATCTTTTATTATTTTTCTTCTGGCTTTTTAGTTTTTTTTTGTAATTTTTTTCATATATATATATTCATGTAACATGATGATGTTGTAAAAACCCCATTGCTTGAAAGATTAAATTTCTTGCTTAACTAATCTTTGAACGACTTCTTAATACATAATAGATAAGATAATAAACAAGAGCTGGTTTTAAAGTAAAAAGTTTAATTGAGGAAAAATTATGCATCTTTCTATTATCTAATAGATGATGTTTCAAATGACTTTGTGATTATTTTGAGGGAACGCAATTTTAGTTACATCATAAGTGATAAATGTATTTTTTTTAATCAAGAAAAGTAATTTATCCCATAATGGACATATTACATTCAACCCAACATTGAATTTTCTTAACTTTATTTTTATAATTTTTTAAAATTTTTTTTTCTTTTTTGATTTTTAGCAACTAAAATTTCGCTTACTGCACTTAACCTAGAAATTTAATTGATTTTTTAGGAAATTTTCTTTTGAAATGTCGATTGTTTTTCCAAAACTCCAACCTCCTTCTGCTTTTGTTTCAAATTTACTTATATTTACCGTTAACGTGGAATTATTATTATTATTTTTTTTTTGCGGTAAAGGGAGTTTAGTCTTACACAGGCATTGCCCTTTTTTCAGAGAAATAAGCAAATGAAAACCTGCCATTAGATTCATACGTTGGTTTTTCAACGGTTAAATTCAACTTTATTCATTTAAAAAATATATATAAGTAATAAATAAATTAACAATAATTCCTATATTTTAATGATCAAAACATGTTAATATATAGATTATTAGATTAAAACCTCTCTGCCTATTATTAGTAAGCATCAAAACTTTTCTTTCATTTTCCGTAAAAAAAATAATAATAGTTCTTAGAAGCAACTGCGTTTTCAAAATTATTTTGCATCACTTTTCTCGATTTCTTAAAGCCTCCGCATTTCTTAAAATAAGCAAAATAGTGCATTCGCCCTTACCTGGGTTCAACAGTTGGTTTCCAACAATTACAATGTATGTTTAGATTTTTATTATTCAAGAATGATAAATTGTAGTGCTCATAATTGTAATTCATAATTTAACAACTATTTCCATATTTTAATTATCAAAATAAGTTAATATTCAGATCATAAGATTAAAACCTCGCGTCTAATTATTAGAAAATATTAAAAAAATTTTAAATTTTCATCAAAAGAATAACAATAATGTTTTCAAAATTATTTTGCGTCACTTTTCTCCATTTGTCAAATTCTCCGCATTCCTCAAAATAAACAATAATATTCTGATCATAAGATTAAAACCTCACGCCCTATTATTAGTAATATTAAAACTTTTTTTTAATTTTCAGCAAAAAAATAATAATAATATTTAAAAACAGTTATGTTTTCAAAATTATTTTGCGTCACTTTTCTCCATTTGTCAACTTCTCCACATTCCTCAAAATAAACAAAATATTGCATTAGTTCTTACCTGGGTTCAACACTTGGTTTCCAATAATAACAATGTATGCTTAGGTTTTTATTGTTCAAGAAAGTTCCATTGTAGTGTTCAATATCGAAGGTTTGTGATAATTTTTCTTCGGTAGGCATGCTTGTTACCCCGCGTTAGTAAACAACAACAATAAGATACCTTCCTGGCAATAACCGGTCTAGTCACACTGGTTACCAAACCGATAATTCGCACGCCGGTGAATGAAAGAGATTTATAAAAGAGTAACTTCGAAGGTCTCCACCCTGCGAGCATTTCTTCCTCTTTGATTGGATGGAAGTCACTTTTTCAGATAAAGGATAGTCGATTTATCGCAGCCGGGGAGATGTGAAGAGGACGAAACACCATAAGGTTGAAGATGAAAAGGAGTAAGGAAATAGATTTCGAAACTAACTGCCAGGAAAAAAAAGTGTCAAAAATTTCGAAACAAAATTGCGTATGAACTTGGTGATTGACCCGAACTCTTTGAGTTCAAATTTGTTCAGAAAAATGTCCACTTAAACAGAATGAGTCTAAAAACCCAAACGGAAAAGAAAAAAAATTACGTGAGTATTGTGTGAAACATAATGTATGGTTCATTTTTTGTAATCATGTAACTTTAATTTGGGCTCCTTCAACACTGTGTCCGGAGACAAGATGTCACCTCTTTCCCCCTCTATCCATGCCACTAACAGGACATCAACTTTATGCTAATAGAATTTTTATCTTATTTGATAATAGTTTTTTTTTAATCTTATTTGATAATCTAGACTCTTATTTATTATTTAAAATTACAACTACGTATTCTTTGAAACAAAGCAAAACAAAAAAACAAAAACAAAAATCGGAGATAAATTGTTTTCTTGAATTCGCCACATTCATTTTAAAAAAGTGATATAGTTAAGTTTATTTTATTTACTTATTTACTGTTAGATAAACGCAAAGTAAAAGCTCCAATATTATTATATCAATTACACAAATTCAGTCAATCTATAATAAATTAATTTTAAATTATTTCACTCATTTAAGAGTCTTTTCTGGTATTTTCCCCTTTATAAACAGAAGTCTCATAATTTCCCCCAAAAAATATTCCAGGAATTAAAAATATGCAAAAATCTTGGAAATATATTTTTTTACAAAGAAAAAAAACCATCATTTAAATTTCTCATAATTCCGATTAATAGGTCTAAGTTGCATCGCGAAAAACTAGGGCAATGAAGGTGAATACTTACTCAATAATTATTTTCGTTTTTCTTAAATGTGAACCAAAAAACGGAGCTAAAATTTATTTAATAAATGTTTTGGAAATTTTAAAAATGTTATGACAATGACCAAATTATTTTTATAAATCTGGCAATTTATTATTATTAATAATATATAGTAAAATAATTCAAGCTTTATAGACAACGCTTGATTTGTTCCCCCATTTCGTGACATTACCAAGTTATTTATAAACCTACCTTATAGCCGAAATGTTTCTCATTCAATTTCAAAATAAATAGTAATAATAATAAAGACGCTATCCAGACCTGCGTAGAATGAAATTTCCTTCATCACACAAGGACAAGCAGAATTTTTTAGTGAATCGATGATTAGCTAAACAAAAATGCAGTAATAGCAAAAAATATGATTACTATTTTTTGATATTAAAATATGATGTAGCAAAAAATATGATTACTAGTTTTTGATATTAAAATATGATGTAGCAAAAAATATGATTACCGATTTACTATTTTAAATTGATTTTTAAGCCAAATCCTGTAATTTACACCATTATACCAATTTCAAGAGTTTTATTAACTCTTCGCTGCGTTATGCTTTCATAATCTACTGTTTTGTGACTCCAATATTTGGAATAAATTACAATAAAAAAATAATAATATCAGAAGAATTCACTTGATTTATAAACAAAAAGAATAAGGAAAATGGGCTATAATACTTAAAAGATAGCAACTCATTCACGTTATTTATTGATTACTTCTAATATTTTTGGTTGAATTCATATTTCGTGACCTCGCTAATATCGAAACGAATGGACAGGAAATTGTTTCCGCTAAACGAAAGACACACGAATTTTAGACTGCAACATTTTATCAAGAAATTTAAACATCAAATTACATATTAATAATTTAGAAATATTACATTGGTTGATCTTTTACTAAATCGCAGAAATAAAAAATAATCTAAAATAAGCACATCATATTCGTTCATAGAAAAAATAATGTTTAATAATGTAGCAAAAATAATAATTATTTAGATATCAGAAAGATGACATTTGTGAAATACTTAAAATTTTTAAATATCTGAATAAATAATAACGTTTTTCTTTTCACGCTGTTTAGTATTTTCGAAGAAAAAGTATTATTATGTGATAGTAAAATTTTTATCAACTATTATTTTAGATGTGCTTTGAAAAATTATTCAACAGCTACGAGTAAAATTATTCAATATCGTAGCAGGAAAGTGAAATTATTTGTGAGTATCCTGCTTATTATTTATTTATTATTTTCGCTTTTTGTTCATTTGTTTAACGATGATTTCCGGTGTCAATTATTTCTGTTTAACAAAAATCATTTGGTGGCACAATTTCAAAAAATCTTTATGCATAAAAAAATTATTTATTTATAAAGTAAGTTTTCAAACTTCTTTTTCTAACTTAGAATTCTGATAACTTAGAAATCTTCTTTTTCTAACATAGGAACCTAACTTAGGAAGCTAAAAAACATGAAAATTATGCATTTATTTTTTAAAATAAATTCGAACGAAAGATTATTTGATACCACTCAGATGACGACTGAAAATATGGTTGAAAATTTTGAACTGTATTACCTTGCAATTGTTTATTCATTCTTTAAATTAACTAATCTACTAATATAGGAAAAAATTAATTGGAATTATGATAATTTTAATAGATTACTTTAATATCTCTTAACTAACCATTAAAGATCCTCTTATAATTAGAATCTCGCATATAAATAAAAACTATGGAAACCCATAAAACTGTAAATTGAAAGTAACTGTAAAAAGTATTCTTTTTATTTTAAATTGCTGCCGCAGTGAAAATGAAATATAAACACTTTGCCTAATTTTATCTCATGTTTGTTTCACTAACAATATCTAACATTTCAACTTTCAGCTTAACGGTATTTAATTTTAAAAATTATGTAAAATTCTTTATAATTTAACAACTACGTGCTTATGTATTATGTGTCCTAATCTCATTAAAAAAAAAAATAAAAAATAAAAAAAAAAGCATTTTTATCGTTATCATTATACAAATTCCTCACTTCATTACTTTTAAAGAATGATAAAATAATGATAAGAATGATAAAATACAAAAGTATTTCATCATTTATTTATTATATGTATTCAAATGGTAGGATTTAGGAATAAAACTGCAGAAGAATAATGTTCTCCAATTTCAATCGATAAGTTTGTATTTGTTCAAACAAAGCTATCCAATATCGTATTCAGAATAACACTTTATTATTTAATTTATGTTCGATAAATCAAGACAAGATTGAAAACGCAAATGCTATTCAATTCTGATTTATAATTCAATAACATCATAAGGACAAACCTGAACTCTTATTCTTGAAAATAACTGACATAGTTGTTCCACTTCAATTAGTTTCTAATCAAATATTATTACTGAGAATAAGTGATTACAAGTTAAAAAGTAAAGTCGAGAGGGCATGAGTGTCAAGTTTAATCTATTCAGCGGTTTTGTACGGAATGTTTACGGAAAAGCTGAACTGATAAAAAGAAATGTTTAGCTACTTAATCTAATCGTTCAGTCACGCTGGTAAAAGAAAAAAAATGATAAAAGTGAGTAATACGTAACTTTAGCTTTTCCTCAAGGTACACGAACATATCGGAAACTGATCTGAGCTATTTTTAGCTACAAAATACATTTCTGGAAAGGAGGGTTTGACTATCATCAATCACATAATAATGTTTCGCTTTCAGTTTCATGAAAATATCCTTTTTTATTGTTCTATTTGCTAGGTGAAATAATTGTTGAGAAAGACTTTTTTTATTCCCTACGCGATTGATAAAACTTCACTGTTTTTGATGGAAAAATATTAAAATTAATAGACTTGAAGAGTTTTTAAAATGAATTGTTTTTGTTTTTTTAAAATACTGCCAGTAATCTAATCTTTTATGATAAGACTATAGAAGAAATGCAAATTTCTAGCAAGCACTGATATCTGAGAGAGCTGTAAAACGGCTTTGATGCGATTATTTCCATTTGATACATTTCACAAAAATTTACGCATTTTTAATTTTTATTGCAAAAATAAGTTCCAAATACTAACGTATTTGAAAGTTTGTAAAACAATATTTTAAGGCATAATAATAAAAAGTAATCATAAAACAAAATTATCATCGTTGCTAGAATTTTTTTTAAAAAAAAGGCCGGGATAGCCTAGTCGGTAGGGCTCTGGGCCCATGTCCGAGAGTTCGTGGGTTCGAACCCCGCCGGCCGAAGACTCCCCGTGTAGTTGGTGACTGATGCACGTTAAAATTCTGTCGAGTAGCGAAGTCCTCCGTGTTCCCATAACAAATCAATACCTCTGGGGGTACTGGATTGGAGATCGATCATTCTTTGATTCAGGTCAAAATTACGATTTGTGGATGAATGAATGGATGTATGAATGGGTCCGCCTTGTAAACAGGTGTATGATGTGGCAGAAGTCGAATTCTTGGCCATAGATGGCGCCACTGATAAACAAAAATCGCACACTCTGCCTTAAATTTGCTCGGTTTCACCAAGCAGGCTTGCACGTGTGGCAAGTGGCATTAGAACCAACCAACCAACCAGAATAAATAAAGCAGAAAACAACGTAATCAGAATAAATGGAAAATACTACTATAAATCATCACTATACCAAAACATAGCATAAAAAGCGGTATAAAGATACTACATAATTAATGAAGTTATAAAATTAAATTTTTGCAGGTGGAAAAAATCAACAAATTGGATAGTTTATAAATTTAGTCAGTTTTTCATAAGTTACAGTTTCAGAAAAATATCCTTTTTTTCTTTTTCTTTTTTTTTTGTTCTATTTGCTAGGCAAAATAATTGTTGATAACGACTATTTTTTTCCTCAATGCGATTGATAAAACTTATACTAATTTTGATCAAGAAATGTTAAAATTAATAAGCTTGAAGAGTTCTTAAGATGTATTTTTTTATTATTATTATTTAAGATGTATTCTCTTTTTAAAATACTGTCCGTGTTACTTCCCTCTCTTCATATAATAAGACTATAGAGGAAATGCAAATTTTTTACCCTGATAACTGAAAGAGCTGTAAAACGATTTTGATGTGATTATTTCCATTTGATATATTTTATTCAACACTAGAAGGACTGAAACTTAGTGTTTACCTATATTGTTATAACTTAGTATATACCTACCTTAGTATATACAGTTAAAATGACTGTATTGTGAAAGAATAACTAATGTGCAAATAAATTTGCTTAATTAATTTTTAATATTTTTTGCATTATTTACAGTTATATAACAAGATATTAGTAAATATTAACAATAAAAAAATTTACTTCACTTGGGAGAAAAATAATTTATGCATTATTATTTGTATAGTTTTTGCAAATGAAAAAGCTGTTAAAAAGCAGTCAAAATTGACTTCCTTGGGCAATCTAGTGTTAAATGTACACATTTTAATTTTTATTGCAAAAATAAGTTTCAAATACGTAATCACAAAGCATAATTTTAAGGCTTAATCATAAAAAGTAATCTTTAAAAGAAAAGATTATCTTCTATGTTTGAATAAATAAAGCAGAAAACAACGTAATCAGCGCAAATAATTTTTTTTTTTTTAATGGCGGGCACTTGGGGTTTGTCCCATTGGCCACAGAAATGCCAAAACTGCTGCTCTCTTCTCGGTACCCAGTGGGCACGTGTGGCGAAGCCACGGCGGTGGAGCAGCTTCGCCCACGTCACACAACCACAAACCCGCTTATAGGATAGGTCGCATTCACACATCCACACAAAGAGGAAAGAACATAGAACACGGAGAGAGAAGCAAACATCTATACCCTGAGCAGGATTCGAATCCGCAAATAATCATCAATGCCAAAACATGGCATAAAAAGCAATAATAAAGATGCTACAGAATTAATCAAGTCACAAAATGAGGTTTTTGCTGGGGGGAAATTGACTAATTGGATAGTTTATATATTAGTCAGTTTTTCCTGCAATAACTTCACATTGACGACTATGATGACAAAATTAGGTGTGGTTGGAGACGTATGGTATAATTGACTAATTGAAAATTGTGATGAAAACAGGATAGTGAAAATAACAGTTGAAGATGAAAACTGGATCATAATTATTATAACACTTTTATTTAATATTTGTAGAGCTCGAGATACAAATTATATTTTATTAAGACTTTCTAAGTTAAATATTAAATTTTGCATAATAATAATAATGAGGACACGCTATGGGAGATAAATCCCCCATGACCAGCCTAATCGAAAGCCAAATTAAAAAGTGATTAAATTGTTCCAGACGAATAGTCAGAAGCATGGAAAGATATCCATGGTTGGCGATTTATCAAAAAATAACACTGCCAAAAGTAAAGCCAACCCCCTATAATCAATATTAGGTTTGAAAAATCTTTGGAGATTGCGAGTAGCTAACAAGACGGTGAGAATTAGTATCAGTGGCGTACGCAAGGGAGGGGTTTAGGGGTTTAAACACCACCGTTGAGCTCAGACAAAATGGCAAAAATAAAAACTTTAGTAGAAATTATGCAAGCTATTATTTTGTAAGACTATATATTTTTATGTGCCTTATGCCTACTTTTTTTTCTCATGGTATTTCTCAAAATACAGAAAAAACATTTACTTGTACATGTTACATGTACTTTTGAAACCAAAATCACGTGATATATATTTGCTGTTCTTGGATTTTTAGGATGTCAGAAGGCAAGAATTTAACAATTTTTAACTACTTTGAGAAAAAATCACGACCTGAAATTGGTGAGGTGACAGCATCTAGTACCAATGTAAGTTTTTCTGCTGTACAGAAATGTGATACTTCCGTTGAAGAAAACGTTTCTAGCATAACAAAATCTGATGAATGTGAAAGTGGCCCTCAAAGTGTTACTTCCCACCCATATGACATTGGACTTTTTTCAGAAGATATTACATGCTGTTCTTAAACTTAAAAAATCAAATCAAAATTTAACTAAACAATGTTGGTTAAATGTTGTCAAAAAGTCAAAATTGTCCAGCTGTCTAAATTAGGGAAATAATAGTGCTTTATTACATACTCGAATTTCTTTTAGTAGTTTCAGAAAATTATGAACACCCCCCTTGAAAAAATTCTGCGTACGCCCCTGATTAGTATAACCATGTAACTGAAACATATTTGTGGTAAGAAATACAGGATAAAGAGTTATAAATAGATTTTTTTTCGATTTAATGAATTAATGTGTCTACATTAGTATTGAAATAAAAAGTTAGCCGTTACATTGATCGATAAGAAAAGAATTATATATTTAATATTCGCTCTTTACAAAATGTAATAAAAATTAAATAATTGATTTAATTCAATTAAAATTCGATTAAGAGTGATTAAAAAATAAGTTTAAGAAATTAAAGAAATTATAAAGGCTTAGGAAATATATAATGCCTTTAGTGGCATCACAACGACTGAATATATAAACTATCCAATTAGTCGATTCCCCCCCCCCTCCTGCAAAAACTTGTCGTTGTAACTCGATTAATCCTAGAATACATTTATATTTCTTTTTATTCTGACGTGGCACTAGTAATGATACTTGTTTATAATACCGAAACAGTTATATGTAATCAGCTCTTTTCATTTACCAGTCATAAAGAAATAAAACTAAAATAAATGCGACTGTATTAAAATGTTAGAAATTTGAATCAATATTAATGTTGGTAGGTAGGCACTGTATTTACGTGGCACTAAAGCTGCGCAATGGGCTATTGGCAATGGTCTGGGAAACATCCCTGAGGATGGTTCGAAGACATGCCATCGCAATTTTGATCCTCTGCAGAGGGGATGGCTCCCCTGCTTTGGTAGCCCGATGACCTACGCGTGAAGGCGAGCACTTTAAGGTAGAACAGTTTAATAAGGACAGATACCACGCACCCTCGGTCCCTACGCAGGTTGATCAAAGTGGTCACCCACCCGCTTACTGACCGAAGTCAGTGATGCTTGACATCGATGTTCTATTGGGAACCGTGTCTTCACGATCAGTCCACTCTGGGACAATAATAATGTAATAGTTTAAAATAACGTCATAACTCGATAAATTCTATAATATATTTATATTTCGTTTATTGTGTCTTGGCACTGGTAATAATGCTTGCTTATGCTATCGAAACAGTTGTATGTTCAGTTCTTTTTATTTAATTTATGGGACAGTATTAAAATGTTAGAAATTTTAATCAATATTAACAATAATATAAATAATTTAGAATACATATCGAAATCAGATACTAAATTCCAAAATGTAAATGAGTGGCATGCGAAAATATAAAGTCGTTTACAATTTAAACTATAATATTAGAAACATGTTTACAAACAGAATAAGACATTTATTATATTTTTATTGCTTATTTCTAGACATGCGTTTGTACGCATGATATACTAAATTTCTAGAAAGTGTATCATTCCTTTCTTTCGTCTTGTTTTTTAATATTATAAATAACCTTAAATTGTGGAAAAAGCTTTGACGCAAGTGCCAGCGAAAGTAGTGACGCAGAGCCCTAAAGGGAAATCCCAACCTTCAAAAACTTGTCTCGGGGAAGAAAAAAAATTATCTAATGTAACCTCAGTTGAGACGGCGTGTTTCAAAATTAATCTTCTCATGAAAATCCTTGTAAATAATGATTCAAGATGTAATCGAAATCATTGATATTTCGTTCTGAAGGGTCATATCTATATCTCCATCATATTTCGTTCTGAAGGGTCATTTGCCAACGATGAAATAACTTAACATTGCACATTTTACAGTTGAGTTCAAGACCGAAAAATGAAGGTTGTAGTGAAAATATTTCTGCGCAGATTTATGCTCAAAACTCTTTCTCTATAGTTAAAATATTATATTATTTATTAAAAATAATTAAAAAGTAAATTGGTTTGTGTTTCAAACAACTTCATAAGCGTTATGTTTACACATTTAAATTTAAAAATTAATATTTTAATCTCAAACATTTTAGCTTCTAAGATAAACCTCTCCTTCATAAATTTTTAAATTTCAGTTGACCTTTGAAAATTGTCTTATAAACTTAGATCATTAAAAATAAACCTTTATAAATGAAATAAATATTTTTCTTGCAGCAATATTTTCAACTGAACATAAATAAGAAAAAACGAACGACAAATTCAAAACCGAAAGGAACCTCTCAACCAAAATTGACTTTCAGGCGTTCGTAAAATCTATAACAAGCGTATACTCCAATATATATATATATATATATATATATATATATATATGAACTCTCTCTCTCCCTTTGTCAGAAAAAATAAGCAAATCACAAATCTCCTTTAGTTACTTACAATTTTGTGATAAATTCATGCATCAATTGCAGTCTTGTGTTTTATGAAAATGGTTATCTTGGGTATTGGGTATTCAAAATAGAAAGGAAAAAAAAGAGAAAAAAAAGTTTTAAAATTATGTTTATTTTTCCTTCAAGAAATACGTCCCATGAACCTTATGCAGGCACTTTTCTTGGAATAAACTGAGAAGAAAGAAAAAAAGAGAGCCCCACCTTCTAGATAGTTTTCCTGGAAAAGCTTAAAAGAAAGAGATATCTACACACCACCAGGAATGTGTGGAGACTTTAGCCCGTTTCATTCCCCCTCTACACGTCAATGATAAGGTAATTATTATTGCTTTTTTTCTTCTTTTTTTAAGAATTAGGATTATGAAAGTAATTTTTATGAGCAATTCAGCGTTTATCTCACTGTCTCTCTCCCTTCTGACTTTTCTGCTTGCCACGGACTCTTTATATTGTAGCTTCTAATCTACCGTAACATCTAACTATATCCTTATACATAAAGTTTCATTTTATTAATAGATTATGGTATCAGTGCGCATATCTATTTATCTATACTCCATTCTAATTATTATAAAATTATTTATCAAATAGATTGAGGTTATGAATTCTGAGCGTGCATGCAGTTTTTGAAATAAAATAACACTGTCGAAGCATATTGATAATAATAATAATAAATAAAATAGAAAATTTTAAAATTGCAAAAGTAACGCTGGTGGGTTCATACTATAAAAATAATAATTACAAAGAATTATGGTTTACTGTTTAAGATTTAATCTTTAGGGATTCAACAGAACGGCACGTGCATCTTAGCCGGTATGTGTTATGGTAGTTATATGCCCTCTATAATTAGAAAACTCAAGAAGTCCCTCTCCCCTAATATTTCAGACAAATAAAAAAAAAAACTGAATCATCGTCGATTTAAATTTAGCAAAGTTAAATACTATCTAACACTTTAAAAAAATTATCATTTTGCAAACATTTAGTGAATAAAAGTAAAAAGGTTAATATTTTATTAGTTAATACTACTATTGTCTAATATTAAATGTTTCGGACAAAGTCTTATATCAATTATTTTTCTCTTTTTTAATTTTAATTAGTAATAAAAATCTTTTAAATTGTATTTTTCCCCTCTTTAACAAAGTTTTTGAAGTGAAAAATAATGCATAAAAACATGAAACCTTAACCTTACATTTTATGAAAATAATTTGACTCATGTGAGGGCAAACATTTCCGTACGCGTATTGATATCTTTTTTCTAAGACACAGGCAATTAAATTAGAGTTTAAAATGTAACTATTATTATTAATATAGTAATTATTAAAATTATTATTTGATTGTGATTATTAATTTAAATTATCCTTATCCATTCTATTATTGTTTGTTTTTAGATTAAATTCATAAATTTGAAATTTTCAGATAAATTAAAATCTGCAAAATTGTATCCTTTTTATGTTATAAGCATATTAAAAAAAATTCCAAATTTTTTAATTCATCTTTGAAATAAAAATGGTACATAGAAAAATTATATCTTACAGATCAATACACCTACACACTTGATCCATGAGGACGGTGGATAAAAAGATTTTTTCTAAAAAAATAAGTACTTTTCTTGAAAAATTTTACCGAAATAATTCTATAATAATTGAAATTAAGAAAAGACAAATAGTTGTATGTACTGTTAGCAAAATATGTTAATCGATTAAACTTTTAAATTGATGGATGCAATTAGATTCAAAATTTGTATTATTATTTGATGGAATAATCGCGAATAATTCGTGATTTAGCTTTTATTAACTCAGACTAGAAGCAACTACCGCGTGACTAAAAAATGAATTTTACAGTTCCATTTATATGTCTGCTTTTCAGCCTCCACTGTAAAGAAAATACTGTTCTCTTAAGTCCAAAGGATTTGGATATGTATAAAATTCAAAATGATATTTTACAAAATGTGCTTTCGGCGTAATAGCGTATTTCCCTTCAAGGCTCTTTTTCGAAGGCTCCGTCATCATATGTAGATGCTTTTTTTGCGAATAATATACAATTGTTAAAACTGCTATAAGTTTGCAACTGTTACTCATGATTGTGAGGTCAAGTTTAGCCTATCTAAAGCCACCGTTCTCTATACTTATTCTGAAAATGGCGCAAAACGTCAATATGGAGAAATGCCACAGTTTTGTTAAGATGAAAATCGTTTGTATTCTAAATTTTTAATATTTAAAAGCTTACTCCAAAGGGGCATTATCTGGGCTCATAAAAATGTGAAAAAAATCGAGAATAAGGCAGTGATTTTGATTATTTTCGGCAAGGGGGGTAATGTCAACAAACTTAAAATTTTTAAAAAAGTTCAGCAACTTTTAAAATATGTAAGTTATTTTTTTTTCGTTAAACAAAAACTAATTTCGACTAATATGACAACTATGTATGCATTTGATACGACAGCAACGGTTTAAAAAGTGAAGTTTCTACATCATATTATTCTAATGCCACATCATAACTAGAAAATATGTAATCTAGTATGTAATCAAGAAAATATGGTCCTAATAGTTAAGTTCAAAGAGAAGTCGAAAGTTTGAACCACTACATTTTACTTTTTGCTTATTTCAAATATCTCTAGAGGTTTTTAAGCGAATTGATAACTTGTTGCACACTTATTCATTTATCTAAAAATAATTCCATACAAGAAATTAAACTGTCCTGACTGTTATTAAATAGGAATCTGTAGGATTTGTAGGATGCATACATTTTCATATTATTTTATACTTTAAAATGTGTAGTTTTAATTGACCGCTCTTTTGACTAAACTATTGGGACCATATTTTGATAATCAAAAATCCAAATATCTGGGAAGAAAAGTATTTTTATTCAGAGAAAGTACATTTTTGTGTCTAACTTATTTGCCTAATTAATAGTTAGGACTAATTTATTGGCGTATTTGAGATCAACATTTTGAACCACTGAGATTGGCATTTGGAACGTGAAAATATGATTATTAGAACGAAAGTTATTCAGTTTGATATCTTTTTTTTAAGTAAGTAATTTCTTTAAAATATGTAATGCACTTTTGTAACTAATGCGTACGCATTAGAAAGAAAAAAAAAAAGAAAAATTGTCAATTTTGATTCTTTCTGACTTTCTAGTTCAGTACATTGAAGTTGATTAAATCACATCAAAAGTTGACAAGTCGGAAATTAACAATATTAATCTCTGTAGCCCCATTTAATCTTTAAACTCTGTTACCTTTTTAAATTTGTTGCCTGGTGTTTTCTTTATATTAGGCATCCGAAAGAATTGAAACGTTTTAAAATTTTTACATGAGACGAGACAATAATTTAGGCTGTTAGGCAAATATTTTATCAATGATTAGTCAATGTGTATTTTCATTTTTATCCAAGATCCACATTTTAAAGACTGAAAAAATATTTACTACAAATTTCAATTGAGAAAAATATTTTTTTTAGAACATCTTATTTTTTAAAAAAAAAAAATATCTGCTCTAAAAATACTCGATGAAATGACGTTTTAATTTATTCAAATTAATTAGATATTATATTCAAAAATAGTTTTACCGGTATTCCATTAATTTTTTCATTAAAGGTAATATACTTAACTATTCACTAAAAAAGGATCATTCAATATGTTCCTTTCTTATTAATAAAATATAAACATCAGTAAAATATATGTCATTTTTAACTTGAAAACTTAAAAACTCATATCTTTAAAGAGCCATCAATAACTTTTGTTAATACTGGAGAATGCTGCCTCGTCCCTGCATTAGTTAGGTTAGAGGTGCGTACAGTACACAGAGCTAATCGTCAATAGAGCACGCATGCACGAAAAAAAAAGTAATTAATTTATACGAAGCTTAAATATTTACGTTACCGATAACCTCCCGCTAACGCAATATTTATCGATAAATTTCTATTTTATCGGTTTCCATATCTTAAAATTTTTACCTGATTGTCGTTGAGATTATCACTGATTCTATTGCATTTAACTACTTTTTGTAAACCTAAATTATTGATAAAAATCAGAAAGTTCTATTTAATATCAACTTATTTTGTTTAAGTGTCAAATAATCTCACAAAAACCTTAAATTTCTTACAAAATAACTCAGAAACGTGCAGCTTCAGTTTCGGATTGGTGGTACACTATTAAATTTTTCCTTAGCTCTCCGTTTCTTTACAATATTTTAGTTTCAAAACATTATCTTTTATAAAATCAATAATAAGTCTTTTACCCTCCCTATTTGTTTTCATTCCAGTTTTAAAAAATCACAAAATTCATTTTTTTTCTTTTCCTTGTTTACTAACTAGAAATTGTAGATACGTTACTTACTACAAATAACACCCGCTAAGGCATTAGTAATTGATATTTTATTTTATCGGTTTCAGCTTCTTAGACCTTTTACCAAAATGTTGTGAGATGACCTCTGCCTCTATTGCACTTAATTCTTTAGCAATACTAAGTCTAATGGAGGGAGAGAAAGAATAGAATGCTCTAGAAATGTTGCGAAGAAGTAAATTTTTTTAGAGAGGGATTAAAATTTTGTAATGCAGCTTTTGTTTCCCTCAGATTTATGCGATGAAAGATATGAAACATTTTGCTCTGCGGTTACTATAATTACCTAGAGCTTTTTTTTTTAAACTTATAAATGATATTTTTTTAATAAAATTAATAGTACTACGCTTAAAAAAAATGACAAGAGGTTGTTTTCTTTACTACCTGGTGTTTTTTTTCTTGTTAAAAACACCACTATTTTTATGTAGGAATGAATAAGATGTTTCTGTGCTGTTATCAAAGAGAAATTCCAGAAACTTCTAAAGATAGAACTGAACAGGATAGACCTGTAAGTTGGATGTAAAAATATGACTTTAGAAAAAAGTGTGGCTGGCCACAAAATCCTGAAGTCCTTCTCTTAAACTTTTTGTATACGCATTAATTGAACACATGGGAAAAAAATTTAATGAGAAAGTATTAAATACATCATTAACAAGCTATTTGTTATGCCGCTTCTGCTCTACATAACAGCCCACCATTGCAAATTGATTCAGATTTCTCCTGACGTATACTAAGAATATTTTTTCAATTCTCCCAAATAGAAAACCGTTTCCAAAACAATAACCTACTCATATGGACAAATTGTATTAAGATTCAATTGATAAATCAATACAGCATTCATGTTATGGACTAGACCATGTCCGTTCGTAATGCTGTATCAGTTATGATGGCACATTTGCGATCCGGATGCGGCTTAACTAAGAGAAACTCAAGGTTAAAAGAAAAACGATATTACATATTCAAGTTAAATATACATATATATAATTATATATTTAAACAATTATAAATTTAAATATATCTAAACAACTAGATTAGATTAGTAGAGATTGGGAGAGAAAAAAGAGGAAACACAAGGAAAAAACAAGAAACACCAGTTGTTGTGTAACCAGAATTTATCCAAACAACAAGCGACAATCGAATTTATTTGAGCCGCGATGGCTCAGGGGATAGTGTGTTCGTCTTCCAATCAGGTGAGCCGGGGTTCCATCCCGATGATGGCTGGTCGATACGAATTCCGCATCCGGCTTGCATCGACCACAGTGCTGACGTGAAATATCCTCAGTGGTAGAAGGATCATGGGTTAGAGTCCCCTTGCCGTCAGGCTAACCGTGGGAGGTTCTCGTGGTCCTCCTCTCCATGCAGCGCAAATGCGGGTTAGTTCAATCAAAAAGTCCTCCACGAAGGCAAATTTCTTCCAATACTCGATCCAGGAGTTTCCTTGTCTTCTGGTTTGGGTTCAAAATTACAAAGCTACGGAGTTGAACATTAACAGTCGTAAACCCAAAAATTGGGTCGGCTGTTCAACGACGGTTATAAAATAAAATAAAATCGAATTTATTTTAACTATCTGAAAGTTTTGTAACATCAGAGATATTTTTGTGCTTAATCGATTACAGGAAATTTAAAAATTCCTTAAATCTTTTTTCTATAAGAAAAATTCTAGAAGAAGAATTTTCTATAAGAAAAGGCTATAAAAAATTGGGGCCAAAATGAAAAAGCAAGCAGGCTATATTTTTATATTAAACTTTTCCGTAATATTGTTAGTGATAAGTACTATACAAGTTTCTGGAAGTTCCCCCAGATAGCAGCAAAATAAAAAGAAACATCTCTTTGCCTAAAGAAATCAGTATGTTTCACCAAAAACGCTCTGCTGAACAATTTGAAAACAAGATTGACTATTTTATTGCCATTATGTCAAGCCTATCATAAGTACACTGTTACTTTAAGATACAATTGTAGAAAAAATAGAAAAGTCATTCACCCCCACTGTTATCAGATACTTTTCCAAGAAAGTCTTACATTATTTATCATTTATATCTATATTTGGTTTTAAGAAAATTTCTGTTTTATACATAATTCCAAAATTTTATAAAATTTACTACATGATCAATAAATTAGCTTGAAATTTTTTTTTTTTTTTGTAAGTCACAGTTGTGTTTTCCATTAACAGTTTAAGGGCTGTACATTTCGTTTTACTTAACTTTAATTTCTTCGGGTAATTACTCTTGATAACCTTTAAAACACATAAATAAAATTTTCCTCTCCCTATTTGGGAAACAGTTATCACTCACATATTTTTAAAGCTTGTTCAAATTTTTCTCTAAAAACTGGAACACTATATTTACGAGACTGGAACTTTAGAATATATCATGAAGTACTAGTTTTTAATTTTTAGCTTAAAGTTTTTAAGTTAGCATTTTTCACACAAATCACAAGACTTTAAGTATAAAAAAGTTTAATATAATTATGTAACTGATTTTGTTAGTATAATGCTTAAAACTAGTAGGCTTTCTTGAACTGGTAGGTTTCAACTAGTAGGTTGCAGGTTTTCCTCCAATTTTTTGTAATATAGCTGCACAATGTATCAAAACAAAACTTTCCCACTTATTTCTTAATATTTTCTTGATTTGCCTTGTTATTCGACACATGCTTATAAAATGGTGTAACTTTCAGAAAATTCAATTGTTCATTACTTTTTCTTTTTTAAAGTAAACCTTTTTATTTAGATCTATCAATTTAATGATTGAATAACAAAAACATTTTTTCAATTATTTCATTATGTAGCAGACAATACACAAGTGATAGTGATATTTAATTGAAAAATTGGCCCTCTATTCTGCCAATAGTGCTATTTAAATCTAAAGTATTTAAAAAAGCCTTAAGTTTTTAACTTCAAAGGGTTTGAATAAAATTATCACTTGCAGTTTTACAATACAGTCAGAGAATCAAACAAAATTATTTAAAATTATTTGCTGATAGTTGCAATTATTCAGCAACTAATGAAAATGATTTTAAAACTTTTACATTTTAATCCTAAACCCAATTGGATTGATGAAATATCAGTAACCATTGCCTTATTCAATAGATAATTAGTATGTACAAAATAAGAAAATTTTCAACTCATAATTTAGATGACTCGCAGAATATCACTCGAAAATCCTTCATCTATAGTTAATACACAGATATATTGAAAAGTAAAGTATAGAATGTTCCATCACTAATTTCATAGTAAACTTCGATTTATGGGCAGTGGATTGAATGGATAGCACAATTGGCAGAAAGTGGATTTATTGTTAAAAGTAATAGGCAACAGTAAGATATACTTTAATTCAGTTCTGAAGAAATAAGTATATTCATAGCAACTTTATTAAACAAACTCTCATTTCCTTTTACATAATTTAAAATAAAATTCAGCTTAAAAAGGTAAGTTTTAAGATTAAATATTCAGTGCAAGCACACAAATCATAAATTATAAAAATTTAAAAAGCTTAAAATTTAAAATGTATATAATAATTAAATTCAATCATACAAATAAATTTAATGACATAAAAATTTTATCTCATGCTTCTTTTAGAAAAACTACATTTTTAATATTGATTACATTTTGATTTTAAGTTTAAGAAACAAGACAATTTTTAATCAGAATTTCAAAACTATTTAATCTTTTTTTTGTTGTAATGAAATGTATTGTTTGGATAAATTTTTATTGGCCCCTCTTGCCAGCATCCTATAACACATTTCAATATCATCAAAAAGTTTCTTTTCTTTTACCCCTTTGAAATTAACAAAAATTCAAAACATATATGAATAAATACCCTTGTATCGGTAGTTCAATATTCAACATATGCTGCAAAGCATTTCTTTATTTCAAATTTACTAGCAAACAGTTTAAAAAAACTACTTACGAATTATTGGCTAGATGTAGCTTTAGAAAACAATTGTTTCCCGACTTTGAGATAAATGGGCACTTTTTTTTCCGGGAAAAGTGTCCTCATATCACATTATTTGAAGAATAAATATTAGTAAATACAGAAAAAAATCAGAATTTCATATTTTGCAGAAAATGCAATAAAACTTATGGACGTTCAAAAAGTACTTTTTAACAAACAAAAAAAATTATGAAAGACATTTCAGAATTAGAACAAATGAAAGCTATTATATATTCTATACAGTTATTTTGTATTATTATTATTATGAATGCTATTATGTATTCTTTTCTAACATTTATTTATCGACATGTGTGCCAGAGTCATTGAGCAGTTGCTAAGATTTTTGTCTTAATACTTCTGGTAAAAATATTTCTCCACAACTACATTTTTCCAATTTCGAAATAAAATATTGTTTATTTTAGTTTCATTTACTTTTTCAAATAGACTTTCTAACTATCTTAACAAACTTCAAATCTTTAAATAAAATTTGCTTTTTGGTTATAATCATTTTAAAGATCTGAATTTAAGCTATATAAATTTAAAACATTTTTTTTCAATAATTTATATAATTTTTTAATAATCACCTGTCTCACATAACACTAGACACATTTTTTGTGAATAATCAGATCTACAAAGAATATATTTCCAACTACTACTTAATGTAAAGCAAATTAATTAGTGAAAGCAGGATACATAGTTGATGAATGAAGAAGTTTTGACAATAAACCTTTTTTTTTAAATAAAAATTTAAAAATTCATAAATGAGTTAGAAAAAAACTATCAAGTTATTCATGAAACATTCTATAATTTTTTACTTTAACATAAACACAAACATAATTAAAACACATGTTAACTTTTCAAAAGCAAACAACTTTTAAATTACAACATAGATTTCATTGTGCATAAAAACTCTGTGCCACTCTTAATTACAAATTATGAAAAGTTTTTAATTTCAGAAATCTTAACAAATCATAATTTGTATTAATTTATTTATAAAAATAAATATCCTAATTTTATTAGTATAGACACAAAATTCACGATTACCCGATTTATACAACAGTAAAAATTTATACAATTTTAAACATTTTTCTTCCTTTATTACTTTTTTAAAAGCAGATTCAAAAATCAAGTGTTCATTGTTGTACAATATATATTTAAAAACAAACAAACATGATACATTTATATATATATTATAAAAATATGGAAAACCTGAGAAATATTATGGTATGAAGCATTTGCTTTTGACTATAACATCACACTCTTTATATACACTATTTTTTTAAAGTACATACAGAAATATGAACACAATTGTAGCACCATAAAACAATACAAGACCAGTATCATATTAAAATTAGTTTTTGCAACAAAATGTACAACTTTATAAACATTTAATTTAGCTCGACTAAAAATTAAAGTGTTTTAGTATATGTCTTTGTTTCAGACAAAGGAGATGAACTGCCATCTTTTTCACCACCTTCTTCATGCCAAGCGTTCAAGTTACTAGCTCTGCCTAGTGTACTTTCTGATGATGATACATTGTCATATGCTTGACGACTTATAACTAATTCAATTCTGTCACCAGAAGAGGCAATTAAAGGAACAATCAGGCCAGCATTGTATGTTTTGACGTTATTTACCTAAAATGATAAAAAGTGGTTTTTAATATGATAAATATTAACACTAAAGTTAAGACAACAAAATTTCAACAGAAATACAATATTTTCAAAATCATTTACTGGATTTAAAATAGTTGAGGCATTTAGTTTAAAGACTATTTTTAACTTTTGCCTGGCAAAGTGGGTCCATTGTAAGCCCAACTTCAATTCTTCATTCATAGTTTCATAATAAAAATAATTTTTCAATTGTTGTCCATCCTAATATATGCCATGAGTGACTATTCTAACAGATATCATTAGAGCCAAAAAATATTTCAAAATGAAGAGCTTTGTATTTATGCACGGTAAATAACTCATCCCATTTTGCAATTTATGTGAAATAATTGTTTTATTTTGTTATCTGTCTGCTCAAATTTAATATTTACTATGCATAATGATATTTCTCAGAATAAAAAATAGTTACTCGAAAAAAAAGTTTTTTCCGGAGAAATTGGATAAATTAAAGTGGGTTCCATAATAAACTCCTGTTTGCTATGTGATGGATAATTCCGTATCTCTTTGCAAAATATCGAAAATTTAAATTTAGGATTACTTCAAGTATAAAATTATGCCTAAATTAAAAAGTTTTGGATCAAATATTGGTTTAATATCTTTTTATCATCATATAGTAGAGAAGATCAGTGCCCGTTATATTTTAAAAGCATCGAGAGGGGTCCAATATGGACTCCTCCTGCCCATTAAATAAAAAGCGTCACTGTGCAAGGGATAAAACAATTACGGTCACATTCTTTTGCAAGCACAAATAATCAAATACTCATATAAGAAATTTTTTTCTCATTTGTCAAATTTTTACATATGGCTTAATATGGATTTTAAGCTAAATGACTCATTTATACATGGCCTAAAATATAAAAGAACTTTGGAGCTGAGAATACAAAATTATAAATTACTTAGTTTGTTCATATTAACGAAAACTGTTGGAGGAGGCACTCACACAAACAAAACTTAATTTTTAGTTCAATGGAACTGGTCATTATAATTGTAAACCAATAAATGTGCTAAAAATTCCTCAGGAAAAAAAATGGACAATCCTCTTAGAAAATAAAACTGCTAAAACGCATGAAGTTAAGGATGTTTGTTTTACTATTTTTAAAATCAGATTCATAAAAGCTTCCTTTAAAAAAAAATTACCTGGAAAGGCAAGAAAATACCACTCAAAAGATATGACAAATGTTTTTACCATGCTTATCCATTGGTTAAAAAATCGTTTATTAAATCAGCTCTTAATAACGTATCAAAAAATTTTAAATTATAATTGCAAAAGTGAAAAAACATTTCTAAAAACTTGCTTTGATCATCCTAAATTGACAAAGGAAAAAAAAGACATTCTGCATTGTAACATAGAATAGTTTCTGCATTGATTTTCTCAAATTATTAAAAACTACTTTTTGTTGGTATGCTTAAATATTGTTCATAGTTCAGTTTCAGTGGGTAAAAATATTTATGTTCCAATCCATATATAAAAAAAACTTATTGTAAGAACAATTAATATTATGCAATTTTTATAGTTACATTAAAAGAAAAAGTAAATTACTTGTAAAATTCTATCCAGAGGCTTGATTAATCCACTTAAGTCTGCAGGTCCACCAGGGCGAATACTGTTAATATAAACTCCATTTTCATATTCACTGTCAGACAAACTAAAACCAAAGTCTTCATATATCTGATCTTTAAATAAAGTCACTTTGTGGATTTCTATAGGCAATGGAGCAGAAAAAGATGAGGAAGGACAGTAAAAATTAGTAGAATCAACACATAAGCTATGTCTGTATGAGTAATCTTTAAATTTTCCTTGGTCTTGAACTCTTGTGAAATTGTTTTTATCTTTCATACTTGTATTTAACTGTTCAATTTTAGAGTTTAATTCATGTAAATTATTTTCTGAAAGTGTATCAGATGGAGTTTTTGATCTGTTATCCATTTTTTCATCATCAGGGGATTTAGGAGATAGACTGCACTCATCTAGACCTAATATTGATTGCTCAATTTGACGCAACCAACTTGACTGTCCACAAGTTTGCAAATCTTCTAAGACATTGTGCCAACTCTCTTTTTCTCCTTCTGATGGCACAGACTGGCTGCCAGAATAGCTATTTGATCTCTGAACTTTATGATCCCAAAAATGCTCATCTTCATTTCTTTTTCTACCAGACTGCTGAATTGAATTTCGATATGAAGCAGTTATATTACTATCACTATTAGAATGATCTACATAAAAATTAAAAAAGATTAGACTTGCAGTTATATATAAATAATTTATAAATTAATGTATTATAGTAAAATGAAACAAAAGAATGGTAGTGCTGTTTATCCATATACCAGTTAATAAAATTTTTCAATTAACATGATCGATCAAGGACTACATTTTGTCTGTTTTCTCAACAAAACAAAAAAACATTCATCTTTTGTCTTGAAAAAGTTTTTACCTTCAGAGTCTCTGAAAGGAGTAAAAAAGGCTATGCCCTTGGAAAGAGAAAAACAATTCTTTTCTCTCCGGTTTGTTCTGTCTAGTTTCAAAGAGGGAAGTGGAGAAAACTAATTTTACCCATATAAGAATAAGTTTAATTTCCCCCAAGGTATTAAAAAGAAGAACAATGCATTTCCAATTTAATTTAGTTTTAAAATATTATGATAATATACACACACTGTTTTTGCAGAAGTAGGAAGTGTTTTCAAATATGATAGGAAAGTACAGATAGATTGTTCTACCATTTACATCCAAATATTGAAATAGTTAAAAGACTGAAGGAAGGAAAAACGGAGACAACATTGCATAATACATATGACATTGGCACATCAACTGTATTGGATATTTAAAAAAATAGCTATTAAATTTTAAACTGTGTTACCTAGTGTGAAAGAAAGTTACCTAAAAACATTGCTATAACTACTTTTAAAAGTTGTCCAATTATTTCAATTTTCAATTAATTGGATAAACCTTGGTCTTCATTTGTATGAAAAATAGAACCCAAATTTATTTTTCAGCATCCCTAAAAGATAAGTAATAAGTTTTTTTTACATTACAAATTTGAAAAATTAATTAATAAAAAATTATTTGTAACAATAAAAATTTAGCCACTCTTCAATCTAAAATAACTTGACATTCAACAGCTACTTGTGAAAAAAGTTATAGTTAAAATACAGAGCATAGAGCACCATTTTTAAGATTGACATGCATAAAAAAATTAGTTCTTTTCATAAAAAAAGAAATTTGAAATAGAAAAAGTTTACCATATAAGCTAGTCTTGTTTAGAGAAATACCAGCAGTTAGATTTTGGTTACAGCTATCCCATGAGTCAACAGCACTGTCAACACTAGATAATGGGGTGGTGAATGTTTTTATATGATTTTCAGGAACACAGTGAACACACTAAAAATAAATACCACTAAAATTTATTTTAAAGCAATAAGATAAAGCAATAACTGATTAGAATACACAATTAAAAAAATATTTAAAAAGAAGATGTTTTGTTCCTTTTCATTTTGTGCTTATGAATAATGAACTGTTAAGAAACATTTTAGTGGTTTTCTAACTAGATAAAAAGTTAGAAAAAGCTATGTTATCTAACAGTTTCTGTTTAAAACAGCGTTAGAAAAGTTCAATAGAAATTATGTTAACAGTAGAAGGAGCATTTCAGGAAATATCTTTATGTCCTCATTTACAACTTACTAAGAAAGACAGAAGTTAAATTGTACAACCTAAATAGTATAACCAGCACTGTATATCCCTTAGTATAACCTTTATGTTGCACAATTTAACTCAACACTCAATCCAATATTTTGACTGAGCCTATTAATAATAAAAAGAAAAGAAGACATAGGATTGAATGTATTGTAGTATTGTCTAATTAGTAAAGTTTTAGACAACATAGAAAACTTGGTCTATTATTCTTAATATAAACCATAGATTTTATCTATTTATTGCATTTTAAATACTTTGCCACTTAATTTTTATTTAATGAATGGCTAGCAATGGCTATGAAACACCAAGAAATCAACATTTTATCGTTTATTCAAAATGTTTTCAACCTGCCACATCCCAGATAAAAAAAATCTATTTATACTTTCATAAAGTAAAAAACAAATATTTTTAGTTCATCATGTTCTTATGGAATAAATGCGCAAATTATTATCATTTTTAGAAAATTATTAAACTTTTATAAGATGAAAAAGCAGGTACTTATTTTGGTAGTCACTAATACACCAAAAGTTTCATCGATCTTAATTTCTGATAGAAAATAGTGCTTTCACTAACACTTGTAATAAAATAAATTCTTCATTACGTAATAACATTATAAAGTTATTAAATTTTTCTTTTTGGTATTCTATTTTTATTTTATTTCCTGCAAAAATTTAAAAAAAAGAAATAAAAGAAAATTTATTTTAAATATATTGCTTACTAAATTCAACAAAAAAATACAAACAAAAATGTTATATAGAGTTAAAAAAAAATTTTTTTTTGTAGAATTACGTATAACTTCACTAGAAATTGAATTATTTCTAGCAAAAATAATTCATACAAATAATCTATTTCTTACTGTGAGCGCTTTAACACATAAATATAACTGCACACATTTCATAGATAGCTTTATCTTTTAGAAACTTAAGAAACTATCCATTTCCAAAAAACAAATAATTTTTTTAAAATGTTACCTATAGAAAACAAAACACAATAATCAACAGTCACTCTTTTATTCTGTTTACATAATTCCTTTAATTATGTTATAAGTTTAGATTGCTTACATCCTCTATTATTTCCAGAAAAAACTTATAATTCTAAATATTCCATGTTGTAATAATGGTTCAGGAATAATAAACCAAATAAATCAAATCTGAAAATTTAATTAACACAAGTATTGAAACTAAATCAGCTGACAATCTAAACAACTCATGCAGGAAATAATTATAAAACAGCAAAGAAGATATATTAAATGTACAAAAACTAAATTATTTTAAAAATTGAAATATTATGTTAAATTGAATGACTTATATGTTTGAAATCACAATTATATTAAAGCTAAACAGACTAAAATTAATCAAATGAGTATCGAAAATACATGTATAAAAAATGAATGCTAAAGATTTAAAAGTTTAAAAATAAATACCTTAATTTTCATGTTTTCATCATCAGTTTCTGGAATAATAGAAAAAAATTAATACAGGAACATTAAAATCCATTTTAATCTGGGAATTTTAAATTTTTGAACATATACTATAAAATTGAGCAATTTCTAGCAAAAGCTAGAATTAAGATAAGACTTCAAAAAATGTTTGCTTACTTAAGGAGCAAAATTAGGTTATAAGGAAGCTGTAACTTTCTTGATTACTGATGTGTGTTAATCTCCAAAATTGCTGTTTATTTTCACTTTAATGTAGTTCCCAAAAAAAATTTAGGGATTGAAAAACAAAATTCATTGAGATGTATTAAAAATTTTCTGTGAAAAATGAAATTTTACCTATTTTTGTTTGCAAACATATTTCGTAAAATATCTAGAAATATCTTTCAATTTAAAAGAGATAAACATATTAAAAGAAAAAGAAAAAAGTTTCACCAAGTATTGACCAATAGCCACAAGAAAAATTCTGAATAATATGTTGAATGCTAAATAGTGGAAAAAAGGTAGACAAAATTTTTTAAATTGATATCAACATTTGAAGAATTAAATACACTTTGTTTAGTGAGGATCTTTTCAGTCAACTTCAATCAACCCTAAAAAAAAACAATAGGAATCCACTGACTATTGGGACGCAAACAAAGATTTTTTTACCTCACAAAATTTGGAAACTAAAATATCAATAAATTCCAAAATGATTTTACTTTAAGCAAATTATATAACACAATCATTAATCATGTATAGTGGAAAGAGGACTAGGTTGGGCAAATTTTATAAATTTGCCAAAGAAATTATCTTTATCAATAAACTTAGGATTATTATGAATTGAAATTATTAGTTAATTTTTTTTCTTCTTTTTAACAAGGAAAAGTATGGATGTATGTGTTAACCCCTTAACTGCCGAGTAAAATTAATGTGATTCACTCCCCAGTGCCACCGTTTTTCACTCAAGTGCACTTTCTTACTCGGTGTTTTGGTGGGGAAAATGATGCACGCTTTGCAATTTAAAAACAGTTTAATTTTACAAGACAAGGAAAAGGAAAGAAAGAAAATACAAAATTTAAATTAAATAATAAAAATACAATATAAAAGATGTTAAAACTTAGCTGTTGTATGATAAATCCTGAAACATGGTTCGACACATAAACCAACATCACATTCATCGCACTGATGGCGGGATTCACGACGAATTTTTTTCTTGAACAAACAGCACATTTTCGCGATGCATTTTTCTTCGAAGACGTTGATGGAAAGAATAAAAAGCACCAAATACATACGGGAAACGAAAGCGAAAAATAGAATAAATCCGACCTTACTCAAATAAATACACACAAGCGATTAATACGATATCACTTTTCCATAACATCCTTTTCCCATTTCCCCTCCTCCGAAATAAGTAAAACATTCGCAAAGCAAACACTTTCAAGGCCATTTTACTGCATTCTGAAGTAGGGGGTGTAATTCTATTTATAGCAGCGCAATGCAAAGCATCGTACTTCGGGAAGGCGTATATATACGCCTGCGGCAGTTAAGGGATTAATAAGAAAAATGATTGGCATTAATATATTTATGTAATCTGGCAACAGATCAGTAAGACTACTTCAATTTCTAGATATGAAGCCTGTTCTCTTTAATATTTTTTTTATATAATCATCGTTCTCTCTTGTTTCTTTTTATACTATGCTGAATAAACAGTTAGTTTAACTTTAAGATGTTCGATTCAGTTAATGCTTGTGTAACTCAATAATTTCTACATAACATTCTATGGAAAAAAAATCGTTTCAAAGGCAAGCTCTACATTATAACTGCAATTTTAATATCCATTTAGTAGAAAAATTATTTTACAAACTACATGAAATTCAGTTTATAGTTTACAAATTAATATTAGATGTCAGCTGAGAGGCAAAAGCATTTATACAATTTGGGATGTACACATTTTGCATATGCTGTAAAAATAATAAAATTTCATAGAAAAGAATTTAAAATGTGTCAAAGCATTGGGAAAAATACAGTTCTCAGAAAACTTATTAAAGCACAACTGTCATAATATTGAATCAAATTAAATTTGAACTCTTTAATAAGTTAGGTATTAGAACAACAGCAATATTCTAGACTTTAAGAGACGTGTATGAAAATAAATAATTTTGCGTACTATTTTACAACAATGAGCAATAAAAAGCGCCTACACACAATATGTAACTAAGTAATTTCTACTTATACTTTCGAAAATTCAAATAACGTTGCGATTTGAGGGATGAGTAAAAGATAATTTTAAGCATTAAATTTTTCTTGGGAGCTAGAGTAATTCTAAAATGTGAGCAGCTATAGTAAAGCAGTAAAAGTTTGAAGAATTTCCCCCAAAAAATTGTCAGAAAGAAATCCTCGAAACTAATTGTTTTTTCTGCTTTTTTTTCACAATTTATAATTACTTCCCACATAAACCAGCTTTAATTTTTTTTTCTTAAACATTATGCAATAATAAGAAAACTTGTTAGACACAATTTTTTAAAAAGAAGGTGAGAAAAGAGAGGTTAGGAAGTCCTCACACAGTAAATCTACCAAATTTCTGGACCCCTGCAAGGAGGGAAAATTATTAATTTAACTGTTACTTTTCATATGAAGGGCTAGAGAGGTCTCACTATTTTTATTATTTGCAGTTATATTGGGGATAAAAAAGGTTCTGTAGGTTGGGGAAGAAAAAAGGTTCTATAAATGCTGGAATATGTAGAAAATAAGCAAAAAAATTGTGAAAAAAAGCAGAGAAATATTAATTAGCATTTTTTTATATATATAATTTTAAGGGAGAAATCCCTCAAGATCTGAAGTTCTGAAAGACCTCATACAGTGAATCATTCAAACCTTCGTGTTAGAGCTTTTGAATCGCACCCCCCTTAGACTTGTTTAGCTAAAACTTGGCCTCACTATTTTTATTATTTGCAGATATATTGGGGGAGAAAAAAGGTTCTGTAGGTTGGGGAAGAAAAAAAGCAGAGAAACATTACAAAACTTGCATTTTTTTTATTATATACATATAATTTTAGGGGATAAATCCCTCAAGATCACTCTCTTTACAACAACGATGAAGACTTTCTAACCTCCTTATCTCACACATTTTTAGCCAAATTTGTGCTGAATTATTTTTTACTAGAAAATAATCTCAAATTTTATAAGAAAGAAGAAGCATTAAAACAATTTTTTCATAATTTAATGGGGAAATCTTCCAAACCTCCCTTTTTGATACAGCTGCATACAATCTACAAAATTGCCATAGCTTCAGATATTATTTTTCTTTGAGAAAGAAAAAATAATGTGTTCATATTTTTAAAAATTAGAATTTAAAAAAATTATCCACTACTACATATAAAGATAAAAGTTTCAAAATTTTATTTATTTTAAAAAAATTCTGCTCTAATTTACTACCAATGGAAAAAAATAATTTTGAAGGGTATGTAACTGTACATGTCTTAGAATTTTTCCTCTATCTAGCCCTAAAAAATTAACGATCAAAAGTATTCCCTTCCCTTCCTCAAATCAAATTCATTCCCATAGAGTTACAAAATTATCAAAAACTAATAAAACTAGGTGTGTCCTTAGAATCCCTGAGTGGATGAATGTATTCCTGAGTATATTCAGATTCAAGAGGTCATTTATATAAGAATAAGCGGAAATAGTATGAGGGGTTTAAGCATTTTTTTGTTACACCACAGTGTAATTGAGATACTTATATTTTTTTATAGGTCATAATATTTACAGATTCACTAAACTCCTCTTTAGCTAGATATAACAATGTACATAAAGTTACAAAAGTTTGTGTGTATAAAGCTATTCATTTTAAAATATTGTTGTTAATTCTAAAGTACTCAACAACTCTTAAATCCAAATAATAAAGCAGAATCGACAGAATGCAGAAAAGAAAGAAAAGTTTTTAAAAAAATTTTAGTATAAACCTAGAACAAAGGCTCTGTATGCCTTGCAATTTAAATCTTCAATTTTATTTATTGAAAATGAATACTAGTAAAGATTTGATAAGAGGGAAAAATGATATGTAGTAAAAAGTAACCAAGAGAAACATAAGTAAAAGAAAGTTAAGGCTTTTAAGAATTACAGCTCCAATTGTCTTGTAAAAAGAAAAATATTATTTTTTTTTCTTTTATTGAGATTTACCAAAAGTTTTAGTAAATTGAATTTTCAACAGTCTAGCATCAACATCAATGGCTTCTAAACTCTTTTTAAGTTTAACACCTTTACAACATTTAAATAGTATACTACCCCTATACAATTGTATCCTATTTTTTTTGAGGTATACAGTTTATAATGTATGTTTAATTTGTGGGAGGACATGAAACAAAAACTAGGGAATGTATAAAAATATAAATATGGTTAATGCAATTCATAGTTAAAACCAGCTCAAGTACTTTAACTGAAATTAATAACAAAAGTTTTAAAATTATAAGTATTAATATGAGAGAAAATACATCCACACTCAAAGAAAGTAGTGAGAAATTGTCATCCACATTAAATCAGTTACACATCACATAACTTTTCTAATTATGGGATAAAGCTACTGTGGGCAATTCTTTCTTGAGAAACATCTGCTCTTAAAAAATTTAACTGTGGGAAATCCAGTTTGACTCAAGTATGAAGTAGAAAAGGGAATAAGAACCTTCATAGTTTTTTCTCTTCAAACAGGACACTCACATGTATCGAAAAGTTAATAACCCTACCTTGAAATAATTTCCTTGACATACAGCAGCAGAATATAGAATAGCAACAGAGTATTATAGTAAAGAATTAATGTTAAACTTAAAGTGATTGACACCTCGTAGCACACAACATCCCATTTCCCTGCATCCTACTGACACACACTTAGAAATCCCTTGATATAAATGAAAGAAAAAGGGATTTTTATATGTTTTACTTTCTTTGGGCCATAAAATAACATTTTTCTCAGCTTTCCAAAACTTCTGGTTACTTGAGATTTCAGATCAATTGAATTGTAGATAGTTGGGACATTTTCTAAATATTTCAATTAAAACTTTAAATGAGAATATGCATAGCAAAATACAATAGCATAATATCTGTCTAGAGAAATAAAAAATCTATAACAAGCAATTTTTTTTAAAAATAAACATCTGATTACTAATGATAATGATATTAGATTACTCATTTAGACATACTCACTTTCAGGGCAAGGGCACTTGGAAATTTTCAAAGTAACCACATCACCGCATGTTTGTAAAATGCATATAGCTTCGTTTAATGTTTTACCTCTCAAGCTATGACCATTAATTGCTAAAATTCTATCTCCTATGTGTAATGCACCAGTTCTAAACATAAGTAAATGAAAGTATTAAATAAGTATTTAAAACATTTCTATATTATTTTGAATGTTATGAAACTTAGCTTTTTGTTAGTTTAAAACAAACAATAATTTATTCTGTACCTTATTAAAAAAGTACTGCTTTTATAATAATGTAGTTGACAAAGATCTGTACATTAACAGAATTCGCATACCATGAATAAGTAACTAATGATTATTTAAGAGACCAATTTTCAAAAGTATAGCTTCATACAGTGGAATCTCAAATATAAGAATACTTTACTTTCTGCTGCTGTCTCTTCCTTAATACCTTGTTTTCACTAACAGGTTTAAGCTTTCTTAAACTGATTTTCAAAATGATTAAGCTTTCTTTACTTGCAAGTGGAAACAGGGTAAAACTACATAGCTGTAATATCCACGTAGCTATACAGTTGCAGAAGAAATTATCAGCTATACCGGAGCTACATAGCTTACTGATAGTCATACTGATCCAGTTATCAAGTTTTAAAAATTTCTAAAGTAGCTTTAGAAACTTTAACATATTTAAATTTTTGTAAAATTTGAACAGATTATTATGTCTTAAATAAATAAATAACTAGATTTTTTTTTACTTAAGTAACACTTCTTGTAACTTGAAATATACTTTTTATGCAAGAATTAACAAATTTAATATTTTTTCTTTTTAAATACATTCAGAAAATTAGTTTATTAACCTTAAAGCATGCATATTTATTTTTACAAATTAATTTTTCAGATTTTACTGCTACAAAAAAAAAACTATTTACTGCAACAGACACTGCCATACTGAAACTTAAAAATGTTAAAAGTATTATGTTTCTTAAAATTAATCATCACTCAGAACAGTTATGTTTGAGCATATTTAAAAAATCAGGTCAATCACAACATAAAATTAATGTTATATCTTGAATATGAAAGTTAAAATAAATATTGCTTTCAATGAAAAACAATTTTTCAATAAGTTAACAGACACATTTTTAATAATCAAAAATATTTTAATATAAATTAGTGCTGAATGGTTCATCAATCTAAATTACCTTTCTGCCAGTCCATTTTCTGTGAGACCAGATATATAAATTGGATCAAAAGGTTCTTTTGTGCCAGACACAGTGATGCCTAATGGCCCACCATGCCTAACTAATTCTACTGTATATATGATAGCACAAGTAGCATCCGGATCCTCTAAAAATATTAATATACATTTATTAACATTGTTTCATTAAAAAAAGCATTTAAAATAGTGTCATGCCACCATTTAAAATTGTTATGCATGAAAGCTCTTAATAAAATAGTTCCTTAATAGAATAATTAATAATATACTACAAGGCATTTGTCATTATCATTTGCTACACATTTATTTTGTAGTGAATTAGAGATATTAGATTTAAAAGTTTCAATTTTAGAAAATTATCATGAAAATATGAATATGTTACTGGCACAATCAATAGATCAGTAACATAACAGCATTACCAGAAAAAGCTTCATCTTTTCGGATACGTAATTTAACAATGTCTGTACAGGTATGTAAAATTGCTGCAGCATCCTCAACTGTACAGTTTTCAGTTCTCAATGAGTTAATGGCAAGTAGCTTATCACCAGGTTGAATTGAGCCAGTTCGGTGAGCAACACTTCCTTTCTTAACATCTGCTATTATCAAAGGTTCCCCAATTTGTCTGTTTCTTGGAGCTATGAGAATAGTAAAAAATGGGTCACATAGTCTTTCTAACAAATATGCAGTTTTACAGTATTTCTAAAGCTTAAGGCAACAAATAAAGATAACTGCTAAAAGAACTATAAAATAAAAAATAACGATTTAAAAAATATATAATAACTTTGGAATAAGAATATTTTAAAACCTTTTAACAATTACAGCCCTAATTCATAGCATTGGTGATGTTCTAAGGACAAAAGTGTTATAATCCAATCCTTATTAAAACATAAATATCTGCTATGTTGTACAAATTATAAAAAAGTATTTTACATATTTAATACTGGAAGTTTTCACAAGTTTTTTTAAAAATTTTTTATGATAAATTTTAAAATATGAATAATTGTATTCTATAGTATGATAAGATGGAAAAATATCCTTTAATACTTTTAACTCAAAATTATAAAAACTACATCATTATGGGAAAAAACTCAACACAAGACACAAACTGACATATGGCGATCAGACAAATGAACAAGAACCATTTGATTAAATTTTTACTTAATTCTATAACAAGATTCTGTTTGTTTTTTTGAATGTGAAATCAAAGCAGAATCAGTCCTGGCTAGTCTATTCTCCTTCGTTTCTTGCTAATTTAAAGAGTTATATTAAAAGCTTAAAAAAACAAATCAAAAAGATTTTCTTACTCAAGTAAAGAAACTCTAGCACTTTTAACATCATATTTAATTATATAAATTAACTTCCAGATTAAAAGCTTGATATTAGTTCTTGAACACAAAATTTCTTTCAAAAATAACAACTTATTTATTGCTATTCAGATTATTCTAAGAAATATACATTCAAACTAATTTTTTTAAAACTCTAAACATTCATGCTTAAAGTTAAGGATTTATGCCCGTAACCTTTAAAAAAAAGCTTAGAGCTGCACGCCTGAAACTATCTACCCTAATTACAACTATTTTTTAACCCAATTTCCGACATTGACTTTAAGAATTCTGACTAGTAACTCTGTTTTTAATAGGTATGTATAAACTTTAAACTCGTTTTATTCTTTAAACTCTTTTTATTCTTCTTTTTATTCCATTTTATTCTCTTTTTATTCTACTATCAGTCTCCTTAAATAATGAAAACACTGAACTGGAGACATTTTTGTGTTTACTATCTCTTCAAATGTATTTTAAATTTTATCCTCAATATGATCAATTAAAATTTCAAACATTTTATTGCTAAATTTTAAGATATATAAACATAGCATGAAATTATGAATAGTGTCTTACCAGTAACTGAAATACCTAATGCTGCACTACTTTTTACTAATTTTACTATAAATGTTCCACTACTTGGAACAACTGCTTCAGCAACATCAAATTCAGTAATAAGAGTAACACGAGGATGAGAATTATTTATTGTGTTAGTAACTTCATCGAGAGAATTTCCTTCAGTAGTTTCCCCATTAACGGCCAATATTCTGTCACCGACATGCAAAACTCCACACCTGAAACAAAGACATTATAAAAATTAAGCACCGGATCAATTGCCTTTAGCAATTAGTGAAAAGCTACTCTTGATTTTCAGAAAAAATTGAAAAATCGGGGCTTTTATTTAAATCAGAAATTTTTATTTAAATCAAACTTTTCTCCATTTTTTTACATTTAGCAATCAAAGTTCCGTTAAAATTTATTAATAATGATAAAAGCAATATTACAACAGAAATGCTTAGTATTTCTAGCTAAAATGGTTAAATTTATTTATTACAAACTAATCCCTCAATAAAATCATATTATCAATTTACAATCAATTTATTTTCATTCAAGCACAACGCTCACAAGGAATTTTTAAAAAGAAAGACCTAATTTGTCAGATATCAAATGTAGAACAAATTAATTTTGATCAGGAAACATTCTTTATTATTTATCAGTACAAACTACATCATAAGTTTTAAAAGTTACTTGTATTTAAATAAGCATTAAATTAAAAAAGTATGTTTGAATTATGTTTATTAAATGGTATTTTACATTAAACCATATTTCATTTATCAAAACTTATTTCATATATAGTTAATAGAAAATTATAATTCAAAAGTTATGTAACATTTGTATCTACATTTGTTTTGTTTTTTATTAATAAGTCTATTTTGAACATCAAATAATAATTCACGTACTTCCCTTTCCCCCTTTTCCTGGAAAAAACCTTCAATAACAATAGAATCAAATTTTTAAAAAAAAACAACATTGGGAATGCATTTATAATTTATACCAAATGAAAATATTTTCAACTAGAATCAAATATTCTTTTTTAAAAAAAATAGCAGTTGATTTAAATTATAACTTTAACCCACTGGCGGTAAAGGAAATGGGCAAATTTGGGAGAATGTTTCTCACCTACATACAGTTCCCCTATCCATTAGCATGGGAAAACCGGTTTTGCTATGCAGAGAAGACTGCAAGCTAAAATGCGACTTATTACGTGCAGAACCGTCAGTGGGTTAATGATTGATTGCAATGATTATTATTTTTAAACAATTAAGTAATTTAAAAATTATGTCAACTCTGATGAGTATCATGTTGAAATTAAACTAAATTTGATCCTTATAGTTATAGTTATTTCCAATCATTTATATTAGTGACTAAAATTACAGAAACAATTTTTAAAAAAAGGACACCTTGCATATTAAGTAAAGTGTTTACTTGTGCACAGAAAATGGTATAAGTGAAATTGAGTACAACTGCTGTTAAGCCCAAACTGTAAAGTTTGACATCCTCAATTAGGAAATTTTACAAAGGAAAGAGAAAAATAATTCTAATAATTTTCAGTTTTGTAAACAAAGAATTTAATCCAACTCAATTTTTTAAATATTTGTTTAAGATATTTAATTTTACTTTCCTGCTATGCGATTTCTGCTCGTTTTTCAAGTATTTATTCATACAGCTACAAAATTTTATATCTTGTTTAGAATGAAACTTAGAAAATGACGAAATAATGATAACATATGACGTCAAAACACATGGATTTTTTTCGATAAAAATATGAAATAATTAACTTATGTTTTTCAAAAATTCGATCTTATATAGTTTATAAAATTTTAGGATCTTATGTAGTTTAGAAAATTCTAGGATCTTATGTAGTTTAGAAAATTTTAAATCATCAACCAATTTGTAGTTAATAAGTCGCAAGACTTACAGCATGATAATAATATTTCTATGCCAAAAAGATGATATGAAAAGTGTTATTAATCTTATTACTTTAATTCATGAATGGTAAAGAATACTAAAAGTGCTATAATCTGAAAAACTTTTGACATGATAATGGTATTATTTTGTCCCAATTTCATAAAAATTCTTTATAATCTAAGAGAGTTCATAAATTATTTAGTAATTAATTTGAGTAGACAATATTTAAGTCAGAAAATTAGTTAAAAAAAAGTACTCAGAATAAAAAAATTTCTCAGAAATGTAGGGTTTCAACTCTCAAAATAGCCACAATCTGAACCACTTGATTGCAAGACAAGAGAAAACTTGAAATTTTAAATCCAATAACATTGTTATTGTTTTGTTTTGTTTTAGTGCTTAACTATATTTCAGGGATGAGAGTAGTCAGAAAGTAAAAAAGAGGAAATCCAAATATATATATATATATATAAATCGCACTTTTTTTTGTCAAATTTTTGTTTAATCTTGTAATCCATGTGATTATAAATCCCGATATGAGGCTTTTAAATCACGTGAATATGAAACTCTACATCGAACTTAAAAAATGCGAAAATACAAATCATGATTTTTTAATTTTTTGATCACGATGCATAATTTTTAAATCGCGCGATATTACAACCACAAAAACGAATCACGATATTGGATTTTAAGCTCACGTGAATACGAATTGCTACATAGGGCTTTAAAAGCTCGTAAATACAAATCGCGATATTGATTTTTTAAATCTCGTAAGTAAGAATCGCACTGTACAATATTTAAATCGCCTGAATAAGAATCGCAACGTTCAACTTTTAAATCAGGTAAATACGAAAATCGAGATTTGATAATAAAATCGAGATTTTAAAAATGCATAAATACAAAACACGATATTGGATTTTTAAATGTCGTAAATAAGAATCATAATATACGATATTTAAATAGCGTAAATAAGAATCGCAATGTGCAACTTTTAAATCAGGTAAATACGAAAATCGATGATTGATATTAAAATCGCGTGAATAAAAATCGAGATCTGAATTACGAAAATACGAGCTATCCAGCCGACGGATAAAAAATACGGAAAATCTTATTTTCTGTGCGTGAAATCGGAGAAAATAGCTAAAATAAGTAAAAATGCGGAAGGGTTAGCAGCTAGGGCGTAGATTGAATTTTCTGTTTATCTTTGAAAATCGTAAATAAATATAATTATTTTACTTCAATGACTGAATTTAAAAAAAACGGGATATTTATTTAAAAAAACGAAACTTTTAGAGAATCGGAGTTTTTGATAAAAAGGCTGAAATTCGAGAGACAAAAAAAATCTCATCCCTGTATAAAGGTCAACCAGTTTTATCCCAAGGAAATGATTTTTAGAGAAACTTCAGAGGGAGGAAAAGGGACTTCAGTAATTTCCCTCCGCGGAAAATTAAATTCCTCATAAAATATTTTAACTTGTGCAAAAAAAAATTTCAGCGGAAATTAGCGGGAAAAATGGAAAAATCTGAAAAAAAGCGGAAATCCGCGAATCCGCGGAAGAATCTCATCCCTGATATTTTCAAAACTCCAATCTACAAATCACACATTTATAAAATCATTTACCCAAAATAAAGTTCTGCAAAAAAAAAAAAAAAATTTATATTTATTTATTATTTAATTAAAAAAAATAATCAAAAATATTTATTAAAAAGTTTGAATTCTTTTAATCTATATAAATTGAATTTTTTGATATTTTTAGATTTTTTAGAAAAGGGCTATCTTCTTTGATAAATACTTTGATTCCTAAAATCAGTCATTTAACGGTATAATATCCTAAAATATGTGCATATTAAATTAATGAAAACTAAAAATACCTTTCAGCAGGACTTCCATGATCAATAGTGGTAATAAATGGTGGAGTAATTAGTATATCTGATGAAAAAGATGGTCCTTGAAGATTAAACCCAAATCCTTTGTGATCTGCATGTAAAATTACTTCAGTCCTATCAGCATGGGCAATACTTGTACAGATTGTATTCGAACTTAAAGATGCTAAAAGAGCAATTTTATTTTAGCATATACAAAATATTTTAATATATTATCACTAAGAAAATTCTCTATCTTGCTCAGAACCTTCCTCTAACTTAAAAAAAATTATATTAGACAAGTTAATTAGTTTTCTAGACAACAAAGTTTAAACAAAGTTAAGTTTCTAAATAATTTGAATTCCAAAATTTCTCAAACAAACTAATAAAAAGAAGGTCAGAACTTCAAAAAGTTTATGCATAGCAGCAGTTCACTAGAAAGTGGTGAAAACAAATAAAATAATTCAAAACTCTGATTGTGTGGAAGATTTTGCTTTGATGGAAAAATTAAACAAATAGACAATTAAAAATAGTGTTTTTAGTATAGCTAAAAAATCTTGAATACTATTTTTTGTTTAAATAAAATTAGAAGTAATTCAAAAACATAATAGTTTAAAACCAGTTCAATAAACAAGAACTACTGCATTTCTTTTAAAAGATTTGCCTTTTCACAAAATTTTTCTTAGGAATTTCCATTACTTAAATACTTAGTAGACTGCAAAAACAACGTAGTGTTTGGATTTGTGTGGACTTTAAAAACTTTTCTGGGCAGTTTTTTGCAACTTAATTATATTAGAAGACTACAAAAATAAGAAAGAGTTTTGATTTGTGTGAAAAGTCATATTGTCTAAATGCAATTTCAAACGTAAGAAACTCAAAAAATTCAAACTCATAAAAATTCAAATTAACACCAAGTAAAATATGTGTAATAAAATTTCCTTTACTAAAACATGCAAAAATATAAGAGTGTCTACCAGGTCCCATCCATCCATAAAAGAGATATGTTCTTTTGGATCTGATTTCGTAACTTTCGTAATTAATTATCATTTGCATTAATAAACAGAGTTAAGGTTAAGCACACAAGTTTCTTATTCTATTTCTTCTCAAACCCAATTCCAAATTAACAGTTTTTTAAATGTTTTTTTTTGCATTTTCTTTTCTTTTTTTTTTTTTTTTTGCATTTACTTTTATGCATAATTTTGAGGTCGGTACTTTTTGTTTATATTTATGTACAAAAGAGAGAAAATGCTATTCCACACAGACAAGTTGACAAGAAAGAAATCATATATTTTAGTGCATATGTATACAATGCAGAATATTAAATTTTTTTTAACTGATAGTCAAAAAGCAACTTAGTCAAAGATTGTGAAGTTAATTTCTACAGCTAATAATCACTTTTTAAATTGATAAATGATCAAGCTTTTAATCCTGTTTCAATGTAGCAATTGTTTTATTTTTACTTTAGATTTCCAATTATTTTAGTTGTTTTGAATGCAATCTTTAAAACTATGTAAGTATTCAAAAATTGAATTTACCATCAGAGGAACTGGGTAAGACATCTGGGATAGCATTGCATAAATTACCCCCATCATTAATTCTTTTTGTTATTAATGGAGATGGTATTGATAAATATTGACTAGGCAAGTTGTAAGTAGCAGCACTCAGAGATGAAAGAGTGTTGTAACCAGAATTAGTAAAACTAGACCTGACAGCTGAAAGTCGTGTAGACACCAATCCTAAAAATTAAAATATAACTTCAACATATATATATTAAAGGAAAAAAATTATCAAGCATGCATAAAATTATCAAGCCATACTTAAAATAATATTCACTAATTAGAGCAATAAACAGGATAACTCATTTACAGAAGAAAAGATTGAGATATAAAGATAGAGTAAATTGTGAACAAGTGCTAAAATGTATAAGTACTAAATTAAAAACAAGACCAAAATTAAAAAACCACACAAATGAAACTGAAACATGCATATTTTAAATGTGGGATAGCCAACTTGCTGTAATGGTGCCACAGTTTGGTATAGCAGTTTTAAAAGTATAAGGCAGACTTATTGAAAAAATTTCTAAAATTGAAAAAACAATAACACTTCAATGAACTTATTCAAAATCCCTAACAAAACAATTAAACTTGTATTGAATTTTGGAGATTTTTACGAACAATAAATTTTCCAAATTATGATGACTAGCAATGCTATAAAAAATTACAGATTAATTCTTTCCTTTTCTTAATTTTTGAGAAGTTAAGTTTAATATAGAGGAGTGCACTTCTAATAAAGAGCATGTTTGTAAATTATCATAATTTTACTACACAGATTATACTATAAATAACATATTAATTCTTGATTGAATTTTTAATCAAAAAATCTCCATTCACATAATTTCCTATTTTTTACACTATTTACAGATTAAATAGGCTGTAGATTTGGACAAACTAATAGTTATAAAAAATATAATCCATTATGAAAATAACAAAATCAGAACATCAGTTCAGCTAATCTAATATTCACTTTAAACACTACATTTTGTCAGCATCTTAAAAAATTTTATTGATAAGCAAGAGAAGAAAAAAAAATTACTTCTCAAATTTTTTTATTTAGTTTGTCTTTAAAATTTTTTCCAATTAGTAATCGGATATATTAAGAAAAAAATGTTGACATCAAAAATGCTGAGTTTCTTTGTCATGAGATGACCAAAAGACTTAATTAAGGTTATAAGTCTGAATGAAGAAGAATTAGTCAGCTGTCCCTGAATTCAAACTATTGAGTTTTTTCAATTTTTAAGAATTATACGTTCAACATTATTAAATAGAATAAAACGATGATATAAGCATTTCAAAACGACTAAGTTTTAAAGTGTGTTAAAACCATACAATCCATAAGTTAATTAAAAATAAACCCTGAATTTAACAACTATTTTCAAAACTTACTAAAAATTAAAATAATAATAATTATTAAAGGAATTGACTACAATCTATAAAGGGAATGCAATACAATTAATTACTAGGGATAAGGAAAACTTTTAGTGAAAACAAGTAACTTTTAACAAAAATAATGCATTGAGGCATTAAGGAAAAAAAACTTTTGTCTCTCAGACAGAAGAGTGGCACTCCAGCCTCTTCTCTTAAAAAATAAAAATATAGTCTCTGTTGCAATTATATTTAAAAAAAAAGCCTGTAAAAGAATCCAAAATAATACACAATGTTGAGCCACTTACACAGTTTCAATAATCACAGATCTTTTTAGGTACAAAATAATAGTTAATTTATATCAGACAACAATCTAACAATACAATTGATGAAATTCCTATATTTTCAAGAATAGGAACAGGATACTCACAGAAGTATTTAACTTTTATATCAGGCATATTTTGGAGTTCAGAAAGTGCATAGTTATATCCATTTATTAAAAAGAAATGAAATTGTAATGTAGAAGAATGCTTTAATTTTTTTTAAAAAAAACTTGCTCTTCCTCAGTAGCCTATGAGTGAGATACTTGATGAGCATGGCCTTGGGGTCAAGAGTCTGTCACTGATTTATGTTGGAAAAAGGTATAGAATGACAAATATTAAAAACATCTCTGTAAAAAATGAAGGGTCAATTAAAAAATTTTTTGTTTAGATACAATACAGCAATAATTCTTTCTTCTTTAGAAAAGGGGAGGATAAAGAAAGAGTTCCATTTTTTACCCAAAACACTATTTTATCTAAAACACATTTCAAAAATTCACTTTTTGAATAAAAATTTACCAGTTTCGACATTGAGAGGTATAGTTTTTCTTACTTTTTTTCTAGCGAAATAAATTTTATAAAAATCCAAATGATTCTTTTAAAATTGCATGTTCATCGAAACAATATATTAGGAATAGTATATCAGGAAAATCAAAAAAATCAAGACAAATAAGAACTGAATATTTTGTATCAGAAAAATCAGTAATATCAAGACAATGTCAGCAAACTTTGAATCATAAAAATGAGATGTTCTGAATGCACACAAAATTCAAGAATATCAGGTCATAAAGCTAAAAATCAGCATAGTAAATCCATTCATTTATACTAAAGAAAAATGTGCAGATCAAGATCCTGAGTTAGTTTTAGTTTGTAAAGAAAAAATATCTTTTTAATACAATGTATAAAAATATCTATTTCAAAATCATTAAAATATACCACAAAAAAATTAATAAAAAATCAATGTCAAATAATGGGTTGAAAAGAAACACTTATGCTTCAGAGCTTATTTAAAAAAAACAATAGCATTTAATATCTAAATTACCTCTGTGAGTATAATTTTCAGGGGTTGACCTTAAAGCTAGCTGACTAAATGGTATAACTTCTAATTTCACAGTTTCTCCTGAAGAGGATTTCAACAGCTGCATAGCTTCAGCGGAGGTCATTAAGTCAACTTTAATATCATCTATAGCAAGAAGATGATCACCAACATGAAGTGCACCACATCTAGAATTATGGCAAGACTTTAATGATATTTAGTTTTCTCTAACAAAAAAAAAATTTTGAATTCAAATTAATTTATAGAGAATTTTTAGAGCAAAATTGATTTAAAATTCTTTCTTATAAAACAATTTTCAAATTTAATAGTAAATAAAAATCAGTTTTTAATCATCTAAACAGTCTAACTTGGTTTTGGTCTGCTCAAATCAAGTTGTGATATTTAAAATTCTTAAAAAATACTAGACTGATTTTACACAACAATTAAGCCAACACTGAATCTTTTCAATGGAGAACTAATTATGAAGATATTTAAAAAGCCATTTAGTTAGAAAAAAAGATTTTTTTTTAAACTTTTCTATGTTATAAGAAATTGCAATTAGTTTAAATTTCCCACACATACTCTTCTACACATATTATATGCATATGAACGTAATTAAAATATTTTGAATCATTTTATATGCATTAGAAATCATTATCACTCCATTATTTCTAAGAATAAAAAAAATTTTTAGATTTTTTAAATTTTTAATCTCACTCTTTGAAGTCTCTTAAAAAAAATCACATTCATTAAAATAATGTCTCAATGGGTAAAATAGAAAAAAATTATTTTTCAAAACTGTAGGCCACAGTACTCAAATTACAACATAGAGAAATGTCACTAAGCTTTAACAAGAGTACAATGACAAATATAATTGGCCAGTCACTAGCTTCATTTTTAAAATTTAATTTTAACTTCATCCATTTTTTTAATTTCTTCAATTATTCTAGGCTTAATTCACTTTTTTTTTATTTCTGATTTCTTGCCAGATCCTTGCAAATTGTTAACTATTAATATAAATAACAAAGAAGTATTCTGTACAACAAGCATGAAGAAGTGATTGTAAGAACAATAAAAAAAATTTGATAAAAAGAAAGAAATACAAAAAAATAATTTCTGTGAAAAGCTTCTAATTTAAAACACTTCAAAAGAAAAAATGTCACTAAGAACAGTGACTAAGAATCAATTTAAAACTCTCATTATTTGCAAGAAGTCAGTCAGACAGCACAAAAAAGAGGTTTTTTTTAAATAAAAACTAAAAAATTTTAAGAGTTGGATAAATCAACTTTATATTCAATTGAAATTAATAAGAAATAAATAAATGATATTTGAAGGAAAAAAGTAACAAAGATATTAACTATTTTCATAAATAATTTTTTTTAAATTCAAAGCAAATTTTTATTTTTTTTCGTATTTTATACATTTAATTCATATCTGTATGTATACAGATTATGAAATAAATAAAAGAATTAGATTTTTCCTAGTTATTTTAATTGGGATCATTATTCAGTTGCAATTATTACATTATCCCTCATATTTGAAGAAGAGTAAATTTTAAATAACTTAGATAAATTTCAGTAAATATTATTTTAAAAAAGGTGTTTGTCACACAATGAAGACCACCTCCCAAAAGAAATTCACATGCAAATAACCAATTTAAACTTCAAGTAAAAAGTTGTTATAAAAATAAATTCAGCTAACATTTTATTATTACACTGCAGAAATACATTTAAAATAGATTGTTCAGAATAATTAGCAAGTAATCTACCTTTCAGCAATACTAGCTTGGCGAATACTTTCAATAACAATAGCATGTTCAGGCACAGAAAGACGAGATAAGTTTATACCTAACTGACAGCCAGGTGTTTTATCTATTTCAATCAACAATGGGCCAGTAGCATTTTTCACTGCATCTGAAGACAATTTTACTAATTAGATAAATATTATTACATATATAGGAAAACTAAATGTTGAAGAAACAAAAGAAATTTGAAAACAAAAAAAAAAATTAAACAAGCATACCAATGATGGAAACATCATATTCAATTGTAAATAAGGCTGTTTGTTTCAATTGCTTTAAAACTTGTAAAGCATCTTGTAGGTTGGCTGCTGACAGATTTATTCCATCAACAGCTAGAAGTCTATCTCCAGCTTTTATAATTCCAGTTCTAAAGTGAAATATTACAGAATTTATTTTCGATACAATCAATGTTTTAAATACTTATCATATATCTATCATAATAGTAGATAATATTAAAAAAAACACACCAATGTATTTAAAAACTTAGCAGTTAAATGTAACAGATTAAGAAAGAACAACCTATATCCAAATATACATCCTTATACTGTTAGCCAAAAAAGTTTAGGTACACATGAAATTTATGCATAAATTCTAAAATAATGCATCTTTTTCCAATAAATTAATAGAAAAAGATACAACAAAAGAAAGCAAAAACTATAACAAAATAAATTGTTGGCTAGACACCAGATTAATTATTACAAAATTACAAGGAACATATTTTATTGTTAAATATAATGAAGAATGTAACAGAAAAAATGTAAGTAAACAACACAAACAGCTGTGGCTGTAATGGGTGCTAAAAAACGAATAAATATATTTCAGAAAAGCATACATCAAGAAAGCAAGTAGGAGCATCTAACTTAAGTTAAAGGGAAGGAAAGAGCATAAATTCCGATGATGCCAACTCTCAATGCTTATTTCATAAAAATTGTATGCACCAAAAATTAAAATTGGCTGTTACATGCTTCTTGAAATTTCAGTGTTCATTCATTCAAACAAGATGCCCTGTGCACTTTAATATTTGTATTTTTATGATTCCCTATGTATTTCTAAACTTCTTAATATACCCTAGAATCTGTATCTATGTTTTTTGCCCTAGTCTCCGGCCACTTTACTTCCTTTAAGCATACTTCATAAGACTTGCCTTTCTTTACACAAATCATTTTACTTTCTTTCTGGGTAAAAGTTCATCTTTTTGAGGCATGAATTTGAATATGAAAAATTAAACATCTGTTAGTCTGTTTTACTTTAGTCTTCGATTTGTTAAACATTTTTAGAAAGACTAAAATCCTCCCAGTCCTTGAACTAATGAAGTCTGATATCAAGAATTTTTGTAATCCATAAAAACTTTAATAAGACTTATTAAATTTAATATAGCAATATTTTTTTCAAATTTAGATCATCAAAACTAAATTATATAAAAAACTCTCATAATCAGCAATTTCTTTTATCGAAAATTGCATAATTTATGATATGAAAAAATCTTGTACTCAGTTTCATCACAAATTACATCAAAAAGTAAATAAAAAATAACTATACATAAATGTATTTGATTCAGTAAAAAAATAAATATACTTATTCTAACAAGTACAATTCTTCTTTTTCCACATAATGCATCAAATAAACTGCAGCATTAAAAAGCAAAAAAAATTAAGAAAAATATTTAATTATTAAAATTAATTTACATGAAAATTAAGGTTAGATAGTTAAATGTCTTAAAATATATCAAATCATTTTTTACCTATCAGCTGGACCTCCAAATCTTACATGAGTAATAGTTAATGGTCTTGATTTCCCTGGAACATTATTAATGCCACCTCTTAATGTAAAACCAAAACTTTCTTTCTCTTTTTCTAATTTCACTTGAATAACTTTTGATGTCGAAGGAATAGCACTATCAACTGTAAAATAATTATAAAAAGAAAACATATATTCTGATATAATAGACATTTCCTATTAAGGTAAAATAATTACCTAAAAATAATTTTAAGAAATATTTTTAAAATCCATAATTAAATTTTATTTTTAATACACTTTTTGAAATTAGAAAACAACTAATATTATAAAAAATTATGCTACACTTAAGTGCAAAAAAAAGATCTAACATTTTTGCACTTAAACACATTTAAGTTAGTATTAGTTTCCACCATATAGCTGTAATGCTTATTTTATGCTAATGATATTAAGCATTTGAAAAAGAAAAAAATTAAGAAAATTAACTATGATTTACTGAGAAATTATGTGCAGCCATTATGCCAATAATCAATGACAAAACAGAGTATCGATTTTTAAACATTAGCAAGCAATAAGGAAGCAACCTTTTTTTGATATTAATGATTTTAAAAATTGTAAATCATTAATAAAGTATTGAAAAGACTAATACTATAAAAAATCACATTAATATGAATACTAGATATTTTTAATTAACACTCAAAAAATACATTCACATAAAATGGGACATGTCAACCTGGGACATCATTATTTTGTAAACAGACTCTAAAAGTGTAGCAAGAGTTGATGTAAGTGCCTTTGGTAGTGCAAAACTGTTTTTGTTAATAATTTTTTTTGCTTTTTGAGTTGTTTTAAAATGAAGGATGGGTTTGTGAAAAGACAATCTGACACTTTTCTCATGGTATTTAGTTTTATCTAGAGAAATAAAAATTTTCAGAAATTCCCCTCTTGAAAGAAGAGAATAGTGGAGTAAAGCAAATAAAGTTAATTACTTTAATGTTTTTACCATCATTACTTGCATTATTTTGCCTTAAAATTATATTTTCTGAATGCAATTGACTTACCAACAGTCTATATTTTATTTAAATTTAAAACTGCGCTGTCTGAACATATATATTGAAATTGTAAGCAACATAAAAAACTGACATTGCAATGTTTGACTTGTTAATCTAGAGTATCTATTTTTTAAAAAATGAAGTAAATCAAAATTTCTCTGTTTTTCAAAAGATGAATTAATGGAATTCAACACTAATAACAGCTTAAACTTATAGTGACATTTTCTTTATTTCTTTCTTCGAAAAGTTTTTTCTGTTGAAGGTTTTTTTTACTATCTATAATACAACAGATTTCAGTTAAAAAATATCTATGAACTATCATTTTAAGTATTACCTGATAGAAAACTTCATTCACTTCAAAAAATAAACAAAACTAAATACCCTGATCATTTTTCTACCTCTGTTTATCGTAAACATTTTGCCGTCTCTTTGCTCTCTCATGTTAGTTTTCACCTTAATCAACCTTTTTCTCAGAAAATGTTTGCTTTTCATACCTTCTTTTTCATTTCTGTGCACTTAACCTTTGCTTTGACTCTTTTCTCTTAAACTCTGGACTCAACTTCATCCATTTGTTTGATGCTAACCGTGGGTTTAACCCTTCTATAGTTGATTTAGCTTTGGCTAATTTCACTAGATCCAAACACCCATTTTCTTCTAAACCCTACAGAGAACTAGCAACCTTACCGTTTTTTTCTCTCGTTTGTAATAAAATTGCTAATATCCTGTACCGTTTTGGTTTTAAATTCATTTTCAGGCCTGTTAATAAAATCAAATTTAAGTCTCTTTAAGATCAGCTTACATCATCACCAAATTACATCAGCTCATCTTCATGCTCTGGAATTTTGTTTTATTAATTTGAATGCTGATTCTCTTGTTAACAACATTAGTTCCTACTTTCTCTCCATAACACATGGAAATGCATTTTATTTTGATTTGCCTTTCAACCATTATGATCTTTTTTGTTCTGTTTTTTCCCTCCTGTGGTTTTTCTAGTTTTGCTTCTTGCCTTCATTTTTTCGTTTTTGTAGGCAACTTTATGTTTTTATTTCAAATTAAACAATATATTCATGTCTGGCAAGTCTTGAAAATAGGAGCCTATTTTTGAAGTGCTTGAAATACGTAGACTATTATCTCTTATTTGTTTATTTTTGAAGTGAATGAAATTTTCACTCTGGTAATATGAAACTGTTTCAATTTCTTTGAATTTATTTAATATCATTAGAGGTATCACATTGAAAGTATTTTTTTAATAATTATTGCACAATGCAGAAAACTATTTATAACATTTATCTATCTCAAATCTATAACATTTATTTTCTTAATTATTGGAAGAAAATCTTCAAACAAAATCTAATGAGTAGAATAGTCTTGCGTTTTTCTTACTTCACTCTCAACTCATGCTCAAAAAAATTATGTCTGCTTGCAGTAACGTTTTTTTCAAATTGGCTTCTACACATTGTAGTTATTAATTTTTTTCCTTAAAAAAATAACTATTAAACAGATCGAAAAAGAATTCTGATGAATTTATTTAAATAAAATCAATCTAATGAAATTAAACTTAAAATATTGTTTAGTTTCCTACTGAAAAAAACATGGGAATGTAATAAACTTTTCTTACATTCGAAAATTCTAAAATTAATATGAACAAAATAATTGCTTCAAGGTCAAAATCTTTATCAATGCAATAATTAATGTTTTCTTATTTTAAAATAAAGTTAGTTACGAATACTAAAAGCAACGTGCACTTACTGGGAGAAGGTATTTCATACTCAATTTCTAACGTAACTTTACTTCCAGCATTTTTCAGTAAATTTACTATTTCTTCGTGTTTCAATTTACAAGTTCGAATACCATTTACAGAAATAATATGATCTCCAACAGCAAGACCATCACTTCTATTACAGAAAAAAAGTATAACACAGTCAAAACTAGAGCAGAATAGTAAAATAAGTAAGGAATAAGAAAGAAATATAAAATAAGCAAGACAAGTTTAGTTTATCATTTTTTTCACATCAAAGCAAAAAATTTATACAAAGCAGGTATCTACATTCCGTGTACTAAATTTGATGAATTAAAAAAATATAACTAAGTTTTTCGGCTAAAAAATGAAAATTAGAAAATGGGATCAAAAACAACTTTTTCTCAGAATAAATTAATTTACTTGTAATAAAAATAAGTACATATGGAAAAATTTATGCAAATACTAGAATCATTCTACCAGTTGGCATCATTAAGAAAAGTTTGTGTTAAGAGTCCTGAAATGGTTATGTCTTTTTTTATAGCATCGTTTACTGTTCAACTAAAACAAATCCTAAATTAAGCAAAAGAAAGGGCCATAAAATTTTTTAGCGATATCCCTTGCTATTTTAAATTTATTCCACATGAAAGGTGTTTAACTTAGCATTTTGTATGTGTATACACACACGCACACACACACACACACACGCACACGCACACACAGATAGATAGAACAAACATTAGTTGAATATAAAAATGCTGCAAAGTACAGGCTAAGGCAAATTTAAAAAAAAATATTACCTATGAGCTATACTTCCTGGCCTCAGATTTGCAATTTTAGGTTTCGAATTTTTGTCAATACCACCTGCAACAACATATACTTTTCAATCAGGAGGCATTGAAATAAACACTCATATACATTGAAATAAATCATCAATTGAGTAAATTGCATTTCTTACTCTCACAATAAGAAGAATCTAAAACAGAATCCTAATACAGTGATTACCACTTATAAAGGCATTGGATTATTAAATAAGCAACTTTTGAAAACTAGATTTGCAAGAATGGAAACATTACAACATTAAAACATGTTAAAACTATCCTTTTATAAAATCATGATCATGGCTTATTAAAATCAAATTTGAAAAGGATAATGCCTATTGAAAGATGATCGCCTATCATCACTCATTCAATAATGTAAATTTATCTTCAATAGATGTCAGAAAAAGCACCTGATCATAAAAATAAATAGAAATACTGACAAGTTACAAAATATTATGAACTTTCAAATGATGTTGAGTCTTTAATTTTCAATCTTGGTAATCAAACAAAATGATAATGTTTTAAAACCATCTTTAATTTTTTTTTAAAAAAACTGGAGCTCATGTTTAACTAAAGTGTCAAATGTTGATTCTGTAAAAATAAAATAAAATTAAGTAAAAAATAAGTAAGGAACAATCAATTAAAGCTGCCAATGTGTTTGTAATGTTCAACTTCAAAATTTTTTTCTCCTAAAAGTAGACAATCTAGTTTATATAATCAGCTATCTTATAAAAGTAAATGTTCTCATAATGCAATTTTAATAGGTGGTGGGCACTGTAATTTCCAAATTCATTCTTTTTGCATACATTTTTTAACTAACTTTTAGAAGACCATCCTTAAAATGATGGATGGCATAGCATTAAAAATCCTGCAAAAAGACAACATTGAGTAAACATCTCATTGAAAATCAACTAAAACATGGTTACGGTAAAAGAAAAATGTAGAAAATAAGATTTTACACCTTTGGATTTTTTTATACTCATTCCATTTAATTTGATCTATCACTTGGGTTAACAATTCCCTTCCTTGACTATTTTCTTAATGAACCACAAAAATATAAGTGTATACATCAGATTCAGGGTCAAAACCTTATGGCCAAATCTTCTCTTGCTAAATATTTGCCTGCCAGAACTTCACTAATCCAAAACTTCCCATGTATAATACTTCGCCAATCCATAACTTCATTTGAATAAAACTTTAACGATTCATAACTTTACAGGTGTAAAACTTCCCGGTCCATATGCTTGCAAATGCAAAACTTTGCTGGTTTACAACTTCAACATCTATTATCCTAAATTAACATTAAGCATATTTTATTCTATTTTTTAAATTAAAATAGTGAGTTTTAAAAAAAAACTAATTTAATATTTTTGATTTAAATTAAAATTAAAGTCATTATGATTTAAAGCTTTAAAACATTAACTTTCCTAAATTAACATTAAGCGTTTTCCATTCTACTTTAAAAATTTAAATAAAATATGAAAAAACATTTAATTTAATGTTTTTACTTTTATTAAAATTAAATTAATTATGAATTAGATCTTATTAAAATTACGTAATATATAAAATATTTTTTATTAAAATTAATACATAAATTGTTAAAAATGAAAAATTTTCTTACAAATTAAAAGAAAAAAATTAAATCGTTAAAACATTAACTTTCCTAAATTAACATTAAGCTTTTTCACGTTCTGTTTTTTAAATTGGAATAATAAAATATTTGTAAAAAATTTTAATTTTATATTTTGACTATTATTAAAATTAAATTACAGGTTTGAACTTATTAAAATTATATAACATATAAAATATTTTTAATTAAATTTAATGCATATATTAATTATTATATTAATGTTAATTAATTCAAGATTTTGAACTTTGCCCATACAGTTTTGTGTGTCAAAAAATCAGCTATGAAGTTTTGAACCATTACCATACATTGATAGTAATTTTGACTTTTTACATTTTTAATTTTAACACAAACAACGATGTTTGTTATCCCTCCATTTAGATATTTGGGCAATTAATGCAAAAATTTCCTTCTCTAGTAGTGTTTCCCCATTGAATAACACAGAAAATAAAATAAAAAACAGTTATTTTAGAAAGCAACCATGTTAAGTATAAGGGCAAACATAGAAACACCTATATGTCCCTAACTATTTTTAAAATGGTTTCAATTTTTACAACAGCTTACATTCATATTTTTAAAGAAACAAAATATTTTTGTATTCTAACTAAAAATATAGATTTACATTTAAATGCAAAAATATTAAAAGTATACATTTGGGTGAACAGTTCCTTGTTTAAAAATTCTAAAATAACTTCCCTCGCATTATTATAGAATCTTAGATCATATCAACAATTTTTCCTTTTAAATTTTAATTAATGTTTAGTTTTTGAAAAAAATTTAGCTAACATATTATTGATTGAGAAATGTATGATAAATGTAGAAAATTATGCACGTTACCTAAAAAGTTCATATCATGTGAAAATATATCAAACTATAAAGAAAGCTATTGAAATTTAAATGAAAAATAAAAAAAGTATTATGGTTAAGTTCTGCAACTTCGAAATTAGCAAGTTTTAAGATATTTCAAGACATTTTTATGCAGTTTGATATGTAATTCAAAAGAAAATAAGATTAAATTTTTAAAGTTATACCTGAAATTATAAGTCCTAAAGTCATTCCTTCTTTTTTCTCCAACTCCACAAATGATGTTCCTTTTTTGTCCTCTAAAAGATAAAAAAAAAATATTAGCAATTAAAAAATATATATATACTGTTAAGGAGAGAATACAAGAAAACATCAATTGTTATTTATTATTTTTTAATGGACTTAGTTTCTAATAAAAGTGAGATAAATAAAACATATTTTAAGTACTTTTTTTAAGTTGCTAAATTGATAATATGTATGTAGTGTTTTCAACAGGCTTTATAAATGATCAAATAACTAAAAGTTATGATATGATTATAGTGCAATCATTTGAATTACAACACATCAAAATTAAAGAAATACTTTTTTTTTCACAATTAAATTTTAATGAAGGGAAATTTAAAATCCAGGAAATTACTAGTATTTATCTTATTAAGGTTTTAATTATATTAGGTACATCTTTTTAATGTTTCCCTTCGAAATATGTTTGAGAACAAAAATCAGTAAATCAAATGGTGAAATGTACATTTAAAACATATTTAAAAATTACTTACCACTGATAAAGCTGGACAACCTTTCATCATGAGAAGCTTCTAAACCACACTGCTTTGTATAAAAATTATCACCTACAATAAAAATATTTTTTGGATAATTTTATTAAGAAAATTAAAATTTTGTCAAGGGGTTTAAAAAAAACGAGGAAGTTTAAGTTAAGAAAAAGCAGAAATCACAACTTACAAAAAAGTGCAGAATAGGTAAATAAAACTAAAATTGGGTTGATAGTAGCTATTGAGCCAAAAATAAGTTTTCACATGAAACAAAATTTAGTAGGTTTCGGCAGTCAAATTTACAATAAACATTCTCATACAAAATGCTGTAACCACAACTTCTTTTTTAATCACATATTGTCTGATATCATAAACTACAGAATTAGCTAAGAAAATTTGAAGTACCTGAAAGGGGAAATGGGTTTGTGATTTGCTTACATTTTCTAACAAAGGAGAAAAAGGTTTATAAACAACATTTATGTAGGATCCTAAAATACTCTTATTTTAAAAATTTTAAAATCCCCCCCCCCCGAAAAAAAACATGGAAAAATGTTTAATTTGATTGGTGTTGTTGTTAATTTACGTCGCACTAGAGCTGCACAATGGGCTATTGGTGACGGTCTGGGAAACATCCCGGAGGATGATCCGAAGACATGCCATCACAATTTTGATCCTCTGCGGAGGGGATGGTGCCCCCGCTTCGGTAGCCCGACGACCTGCGCGCGAAGTCGAGCACTTTACGGTAGCACAGTTTAACGAGGACCAACACCGCACACCCTCGGTCCCTACGCAGACTGATCCAAGTGGTCACCCACCCGCACACTGACCGCAGCCAGTGATGCTTGACTTCGGTGATCTGCTGGGAACCGTGTCTTAACGATCAGTTTAATTTGAAATGAGAATTAAACTTGAAAATGACAATAGAAATTTAAATAGTTTTCTAACTGCTACAAGCACATTTTAACGCTGTTATATTGCCAAATAGAATTCATAGTTGATTCTGACCAGCTAGAGCAGTGTTTCCCAACGTGGGGCCCACGCCCCACTGGGGGGTAATTTGATTGTTAAGGGGGGTAATTCGAAAATGGACTCGACAAGAGTTTTACTTATTTGCTCCGGACCATTTAAATACAATGCTAGATTTCGGTGCCAACATTGTAAGAAGAAAAGCAAATTCTTAAATAATTGCGGTCAATGAATATTATAAATTCGATTGATGAGACCAAAATATCAACTGGGTTTTTGGCGTCGTCAAGTTAACTAACCTCCCTGCGGCATATGGCAGCCTCCGCGTAGACCCCTTGACGCTTTAAAATTTCGCTAAACAATGCAGTCGTTCGCATCTGAATGGCCCGTCGCAACTTCTGTAGTGTTTCGCAACATTCAGTGATAGAAATCAATACCATACTATGTCTTTTATGCCTGCAATGCAACAGTAAAGTCTTTATTTACTGCTCACACTTCAACCCATAATTGTATTCTTGAGGCTAGTTATGAAATTTCTTTATTCATCGCTAAATTTGGAAGAAATCATACTATAGGAGAGAATTAAATAAAACCGTCAATATCAGCATTTCTTAAAACGGTTCTTGAAAAAGATGTAAAAGCTATGCCACTCAATAACAATACTGTTAGCAGAAGAATAGACGAAATGAGTGAAGATATTGAAAAACAACTTGTTGACAAGCTAAAAACAAGAAAATTCTCAGTGAAAATGGATGAATCAACTTTGATAGACAGTGTGGCAGTATTGATAACTTACGTAAAATATATTGATAAAGGGCATTTTGCTGAAGAAATGTTGATATGTAAAAGATTAGAAAGCACCACTACCTCCAAAGATATTATATAATAAGCTAAAAAAAACTACTTAGATGTCAATAATATACTAATGAAAAATATAACATCTTGTGCTGCAGATGGTGCTCCTAATATGATGGGCAAGAAAAATTGCTACTTAAAATTGATGAAAGATGAGAATCCAGAAATGATTCTTGTGCATTGTGTTATTGCATAGGGAATAAAGTTGTGCATAGGGAAAACTTGGTAGCTAAAAACATCTCGCCTGCTCTAAATGAAGTACTTACATTCAGTAATAAAGTGTATCGATGCTATTAAAGCTAATGCCAAATGTGAGCTCCTCTTCAAGCTGTTTTGTGAAGAACAAAATGCAGACCATGTGAGACTTTTACTTCACTCTGAAGTAAGATGGCTCTCTAAAGGGAACTGCTTGAAAAGATTCATGGAACTGCTTGATACTCTTAGTGATTTTTTAAGCGACAAACCTGATATGAAGTATCTGTTAACAGTCGAAGGTAAAGCATTTGTGAGTTATTTAGCCGATATTTCTGAAAAACTAAATATATTAAATAAGCAACTTCAAGGAACAAATAAAACTCTTGTTGATACAAAAACGAAGATATTTGGTTTCATTATCCTTATTGAGTTAAGTCTGAAAACAAAAACTTGGATCAGTTTAATTGTCCCCAAAAATTAAAAGTAAATGATGCCGCTTTTACTTGTAATTGTCGATCATCTGAAAATTCTATCGGCTGATTTAAAAGAATGATTTTCTGATTTAAAACAAATAGATTTTTCAACACGGATGATGCAGCCAATGTTAGTGCATTTGTCTGTTATATGAAGTATGCAGTATCAGGAAGAACTCTCAGAAATGCAAAATGATAAATCAGTTAGAACTATTTATTTTATAAAAGGAGTGATGGCATGGCTTTGTGAGGAAACAGAAATCAAGTACCCAAATTCAACCAAATATGCAAAAAAACTATTGTTACCGTTTCCATCTTCATATTTAACTGAATGTGGATTTAGTGCTGTAAATGATTTACTGGAAAAAAAAAAGGAAATCGCCTGGATATAACACAGTGGGGAGACTTGAGGCTGAAGCTAACCAAATTGGAAACTAACATAAAATCTCTGTGCAGCAAGCGCAAGGATCTCTCTAAATTAAAATATTAAACTATTATAGAAAAATCTTTATGAAAATTATTTCGAATTTGAATTTTAGTTTTTTATTATAAGTCGAAATTTTACTTACTGTGTTTCGTCAACAATTTTCAAGAGATTTCTCACTGAAACCTATCATTTACAATTCAATCCTATCATCAAACCTATCATGAACAATTCAATTTTTTAATATTAAAAATTATGTGTATGTTACATAGGGGGGCATAAGAATTTTAGAAAGGCTTGAGTGAGGCACGGCACAAAAAAGGTTGGGAAACACTGAGCTAGAGTGGTAAAATTTCAAGTATAATTCAGTACCTACTGATAAAGCAAGCTTCAATGATATCCTGACTGTTAAAAATCAAAATTTATCTCCATATAGAATTTAACATCAATCGATATTTCAAGCACTTTTCGACAAGCTAAAGTGCTCAAATTTCAGAAGCTCTAGGTTTTTAGTCTCAATGGGCGATCGTAACGCTCGAATACGGGGAGTGACCGGTTTCATGCCTTTGGCCCTTCTTCCTTCCCTTTTTAGTTGTATGGGAATGTACTACGATATTTTCCCTTTTTTAATATTTTTCTTTTTATTTGATAAAAATATTTTTTTAAATTTCCATGATACTTTCCTTTAGAACTACGTTTAAGTTAGTTTTCAGTTTCACATAGTTTTAAAAATTAAAATATTTTAATCTACATGAAAATCAAGACAGAAACTAACGTACTTCCTTACTCTACGACTCTCCACACGCTAATGGTGAAAGCACGCGAAACTTTGCCATAGGTAGCGAGTTCTGCTCTACGCCACCTGAAGCCCATTTCGATCGCCAATACTACAAGTTATATTCGTTTTCTAAATATTGTAAGCAAACTTTAGCTATATTTTATCTCTAATCGACTATTTCGCGAATTAAACAAACAGACACAAAAAAGATGAAAATCATTAAATAAATTTTAATAAATTATGTTTTTCTAGTGAATTATAAAGAAAAATTTTTTTTACGGAAAATGTAGGGATTATCACTTTCATAATTAAATCATTCCCATTTTTCATTTTAAGTGTGATAATCTGTAAAAATGGTATTCATGCATATCTCTTAGACACTGGTAAAATTTATCACACGCCTGTAAAACCTTTGTTTTATGTATGGGGAAATAGTAGTTACGTTTGTACCATTTTTTTTTCTTTTTTTAAAAAAGAAGGAATAATTAAGCTAAATTGTATATTGGCGCGCAAAAGCCGATACAGACTTTTGCGCGCGGAAAAGACGCGACAGAAAATTTAAAATTGAGATTTTTACAATTTCTCAAAAAAAAAAATTCTTTTTATACGTTTATTGTAATTCTATTTCAACGATAGATAGAAAATACACTGCTCAAAACGATTAAAGGATTTTTTAAGTCTTGTGTAAAATAATGATATAAGCAACTTTTTATTGTGTAAAATGGAAGAAGATAGTAACAAACAAACAAATGCAAACTTTTCTTAGTTTCAAACTTCGCAGTATGCAAATTTTGAGTTTGACGCCCAAGCGGCAGCGAATTTCATTTGACTTTCAACTTAATGTAAGACAAACAGGAAAAGAATGATCGACATTCAGTAAGCGCGTTGTTTCGATGAGTGCGAAGTCTCAATGAAGTCATTTAATCGAACCAGAAGATTGTAGAGTTGTTAGCCGGTTAGAAGGGGCCAAACATTAGCCGAAGTAGCAGACGCCATTGCAGTTTTACAAAGTGTGATTTCCAGGATCTGGAACAGTTTCTTGGAGACTGGAAATGTAGGCTGAAGATCAGGGCAAGGGCGTAGACGTGCAACAACGCCCAAAAAAGATCGTTATTTAAAGCTAACGGCTTGGAGACACCGAAATATGAATGCCACTCTTCTTCAATAACACCTTCGCTCAGCTACTGGCAACACAGTTTCGACACAAACTGCCCGAAACCGCCTTCATGTTGATCGGTATACTCGCTGATCAATGGTATGTGTCACGTCAACAGCAAGGCACCGTCGCGCTCACAGGGAGTGGGCAACAAAGCATGTGAACTGGAGGAGAAATGAATGGAGCAACGTTCTTTTCTCTGACGAGTCCCGTTTTTCTGTTCATACAGAT